TATGATACGTTGAAAGTTCTATAACTTTAAACTTTGTTACGTTGACCTGCTGAACACACCTGGTAGGATATAGCCACTTGATATAGGTAATTTCGCAAGTCTGTGCAGTGGTCTAGATTTATCACATTCGTCCTGTCGCTACGTTTCCTCATGCCTCGTTTAATCCACGGCACAATCTATGCCCCATTTCAGGTGTCATTTACATGTTTATGTGCAGTGCATGTGTACATTCTATTCGTATGTTGCAATGGATTATTTATTTAGAAACCTTGCCCTAATGTAGGTTTCATTTATAATTATATTTTGTATACATTTTGTACATTCGTTTATGTAGAGCTAGGTACCTACTTGCATACGAAAACTACAAATTCTGTGATTTCATGAAAATAGTTACATGAGTAATTGATTTCATTTATTATCCAAAATTAATAATATTATCATCTAACATGTTTGAAATTACTAAAAATGTAGCTACGTGTAGGTAATTACAACATCTAAAAGTATACAGAAGTTAGTCGTCATATTAGTGCATTTTCCAAAGTAACTAGGTAGGTACTCGTAACTACTCGTAAAAACTAACTAATCGGTGGTTTCAACATGGCTATTTCGCAACTTTACTTTTTGATTGATTTACATTTGCAGAAAAACTAGAGATGTTTCGAGGTATGATTAATTATTGTGTTACGTCCCATCTCTTGATCGATTGATTATACGAATTAAATGGATAGATGTAGCTACTAATGCGTAAAGTTCTGCGTAACAAAGTGCATAAAAAATTGCCGGCGTGCCAGCGCAGCGTTATCGTTAAAAGAAGCAATAATTCAAATATGTAACGTTATGCGATTAACCGCGATGATATTATTAGCAAAACAAACAATACTTCCTGAAATGATTACCACTGAAATTAGAAGTAGCACTCGAATATTACCTACTTAACTTATTATTTATTTAACAGTACCGAACATTCAATATTTTATGAAATCCCTAGCTTATAATATGCATGATAAAATCCACCTAAATCCTATACTGGGTGTAGTTAATATTCATATGTAAAGTAGGCAAGTAGGTAAATCTTAGTACCTAGTTATTTTCGACTCAAGGCTACCAAGTAATAATTCAGAGCCGTTAAAGCTTGTCTCTTAAAGTAAAAGACAACTTAGAACCACTTTTCATATCATAACTTAAAACAAATTCGATGAATTTGCTCTACTATCTTTTTTAGAAAAATGTAAACGTCCCTCACATTAGGTACTTAAAAAGACTACTTGCAACCCTAGCATATATTTCAAATACTAGGTACTACGTATTGATTACATACTACTTATCGATGAGAAAATGACCGTCTTTACTTTTTTCCTCAATAACTTTTCATGTGCATGTAAAAATATTACGTTGGTGCTATATTCAGTAGTAGGTATACTTATCAATTTTGTGCAAATACAATTGCAGTTTATTGCGATTAATACTAGGTTTTCGGTTGAATGAGTCCGATTGAACTGTAGATATGTTGTATAAATGGTGAAGACATTCCACATAACAGTCAATTTACCAGGCGATTTAACCCTGGCGTTTCAGCGATGAAAATGTTTTGATTAATGGCTGAAAACTTCCGTATACCTACTTAATAGTTAAGTACAATGTCTGAAATTAGATAAAATTTAGACTAATCAAGAACATTTTATTTCGTCATTTCTAATCTGTGTACACTCTATTAAATATGACATAGGAAACTATTAAAACAAAGCCTTACATATTAATAAGCATGTTAAAATATAGTTAATTTTTCATTTAGTGTACTTAGGCCCATTGGAACTATAGCTTTAATACGAGTAAATTAATTCTGGGCAGAAAAAGTTACCACTACTCTACATATAACTTTGAGTCTACTTAAAGCTTTTTAATGGTACACTTTACTGGCAAAGTTAAAGCTAAGTTATAAGCTATTTAATTGCACTTTTATTACTTTGTAGCGTACTGCAAAATAAAACCAATCAGAGAAAAATCCACACACTAAAAACACCATAACAAAAATATAATTTTCCAAAAACTTACCGTAAATATTTGCATAGCAGCAGCCATCTTAAAAAATCCTAAAGCCGAGATCACAGCAAAATCACATTACTCTATAATCGATTAACGATCGATACAATCGATCGGACGGAATAAGTGAGGGCTTATGTTTCCCGGGCTGGCCGGCCGGCGCTTATATACGACTACATAAATCGTAACATTCGCTCGCTGCTCCATTACCTAGGACCAGCTATGTATTATTTTAACGTAAATATAGGTATAGGTTGATGGACGATTTGTAGGAAATGAATTTTTCATATTTTACAGCCGTTACGCCAAATTAAGTATGTTTATTTCTTTTAGCAAGAACATTTTTTAAAATTAGTAGATAGTTATTATACTTAATAGTACTCCTAATTCCTATCCGTTTAAGGTTTAACATCTATGAATGAATTTAAATAGAGGTGTCCTGTCCTACAATAAAGTTACGTTAAAGAGCCTTTCAAAACAATGCTTAGGTAATAATCTTAGTGAAGTGCTACGAGTGCTCTACGAAGATTCGGTGAAGATGGCCGCACGTCTACGACATCGTCTACGAATTTCTATAAACGTAAACTATTGTTTAAAGCCTAATAACAGATTTTTAGCAAGATTACCAGGTAACGAGTAGGAGAGGTAACGCCACAAAGCAATTAAAGAAGTTCAAATTAGCAACCTCTGAAAAGATTCGGCAGTCCGATGCTAAAACTACTTAGGTACCTACTCGCACTTACTATTGTTGTCTGTACACAAAACACCGGGCCAGGTAGGCCTAGCTAGGCACATGGCATTCGTATATTGCAGCTCGACATATTTAGCGACAAATTAATCAATAACGATCGGATTCCTGTGGTAATTTTTCTTACCTATGTCATTGCCTGTCTGCCTGCAGTGTATTGCGACTAAGCTGGACGTAAGATTTCAAGATAATTGATTTTTTATTTAAATATATGTCTAATTGAGATTGAAAGCCAACTTATTATTGTGTTTGCTTTTCACCTTACATAAAATATGATGCATGTATGCCTACGCTTTTTCAATTAACCTTTTCATTATTAACCGTTGGACTTTCACCCAAGGTGGACAGATGACCTTATGAAGGTTTCAGAAAGGCACAGGATGATGGCCACTTCCAGCCTGAAATCCATCCACAGCCAGCTGGAAATCATTGAAAGCCTAAGTTCTGCAGCAGTGGGTAGACGTCCTGTGACTGATGATCACATTAGTCAACATTTCTAGCTTCAGTCTTTGGTTAAGCAAAAAATGTAATTCATTGAACTATTTGTGTCTGATATGCTACGAGTAGATATAGTATTTGATCAATCAAGATCGCATTATTTTTAACAAGATTTCAGACTTAATCAATTTTAAAATATGGACACCCTCAACTCAATTAACGAGCAGTCTAAAAGTCTAGGTATAAATATATTTAGGCCTATCCGGTATTGCAACTGATACCTAGGTTGTCTCATATGGTTTTGCATATATACATTTCCGTCCACCTAATTTCAATTAATCAGGAGGTGCATTTTCTACATGCTTTACCCTACATTCTATTAATGCATTCAATCAAACTGTTATGAAACTTCATCATCATCATAATCATTTCAATCAATGGCAGCTGTATCAGTCCACTGCTGGACGTAATTAAGCCACAAGGAGCACCTTCCACTTTTACCTATTACCAGCCAGTCGTCAGTCCATGGAGTAGGTAGATAGTAGGAAAAATTAGTAATAAGTATTTAAAAAACATAACTACTTATATAATACTTTAAGATCGCCGACGATTCGAATAGTAAGATGCCTAAACCCTAAGCACCTGTGATTAGTGAAGCTTGGCGGCTCTACATACGGCGTTTGTAATGGTTATGGCCAAATACCAACTTGCCCTGAAGATGAAGGAAGAATTTATTCTTCGTAAAAGTTTGAATTGGATGATGCCATCAACAAACAGTGAGTTTGTACTTCCTAATGTACATAACCACTAACTGCAATATCCTAAAATAATCAGAAAGGACTTTTTAAACACTTAAAAACAATTCATTTTAGGTTATAGATTTGAATTTACATCTTACTAAAAGATATTAAACACTCACTTGGAATCCCAAAGAAGGGTAAGTATAGGCACTTGCCAAGTCATGGGCTTGGCCCATCACCAATGGGATATTAAGTATAGGAAATTACATGATAACGAACACTCTCGTTACTGGATTTAAGCCCTTTTATGTGGGTACATAAATTGCCTGGCGAGCAAGTGGGCAAGTTTCCTAAAATATAGATCACCTCGATGAATAAACATTGGCAGCTCGCTACTCATTCTTGTATAATTAAACGATTAGATAATCTATTGGTTATTGTAAATTTAAAGGGTGGCTTTATAGCCATCTTAGAGTGTCGTTTAACGGTGCTATTCCTACCTCTCAACAGCACAAATACAACGGAACAACTTCTGTAATACCGAAGTGTAACCATTATATGTAGATCCTGAAAATTGTAGACATGCTGAAACTCAACCACTGAAGGCTAAGTTGAGTAAAACTAGGTTAATAAAAAGTAGTGCATAGTTTGTGGAAAGATCCTACTAATATTATAAATGCGAAAGTTTGGATGTCTGGATGTCTAGATGTCTGGATGTCTGGACGTTTGTTACCTTTCACGTAAAAACTACTGAACGGATTGTGATGAAATTTTACAGTATCGTCATAAATTATAGCCTATACGTTATTCTGGGTTAGAATAATAATCTAAGACTCTGAAAATGAAAAAACACTGTGGGAAAACCGAATATCTTAAGCAGAATTTAAATTTAAATATATTTATTTCTCATAATCAATACACGTTACAATTATCTATCTTAATAATGTAATTAAAAGTGCAAATTTATTTACTTAACTAATTAACTAATAATAAATTATGTCAACACAATCAAACATTCAATAAATAAATTCTCAAGCTTTCCAAATAAATAAATTCACTGATTACAATCACACATACAATTATTTTTGCAAGCTACGTTCGCGTTTAGAAACTTCAGCATACAAATTCGGCGTCAGATTCCAGAAATACTGTTACAAATGCCAATTTTTTCACGAAGAATGAGCATAATATCACGGAATCGCAACCTACATTACTATTCCCAAGCTTTTTCTGAATTTCAAGATCTACAAAGATTATTTCAATAGAAATAGAGATCTTTTTAATAGAAATACTTTATGTATTTATTTACAAGACTAAGATGTTTCTAAACGCGAACATATTGATCATTATTACACAACACAAGAAATCTTCATGAATGAAACTACAGAACAAATCAAGTTTTAACCTATGTAGTAACGTAAAATATGTTATAGCGAATGAAACTTTCCACGAGGCTCTACCTAGCCTCACTGTCTGCAGACCTATGATGTACACAAACATGGCTTACACCTGGGTATGCATCTTAGGTCCAGACGAAGTAAGATACATCGTCCCCAATAAATAGACTTATTTCACTATTCCCCGTTGACAATCCCCGTTAACGGGGATTAGTGAACAAAAAGTTCATTAATCCCCGTTATAATAGGATTTTGTTTTGATTTTATAAGCTCCAATTGGCATTCCGTTGACGGGGATTGTCAATGGGGAATAGTGGAATAAGCCCAGAAATACTACACTATGCAGAACCGGGACTACTGGAAAAAGAACATAGATCACAACAGATCAAAACCGTTCGCAGAGATATAGAACTCTACTGAACGTTCATACAAAAAAGACATTTTACTAGTTTTCAGTCTTTACAGTATTAGATGTGTCATAAAACCACATAGCACCTGACCTCGAAACAAAATGTGCCAATACGAAGGACTAAATGCGATGTCAAGGCCAAATAGCCAATAAAAGTTACTCAGTTTCATTGTCAACATTGTCAGGTTCAGTGGCGGTTTCGACGCTAGCGGGGCTGGTTTCCACGTTCGCCGTAACGGTATCGGTAGCGTCGGTGACGTTCTCCGGCGTGGTCGGAACGTCCGGCGTCTTCTCGCAGTTGCGACCGCTGATGCCGGCGGGGCATTGACAGCGGTAGTGACCGTCACCAGCTTCTAGTGACTGACACTTGCCGCCGTTTTTGCACGTGTCCGGGTTCTTGTCGCAGTAGTTCAACTCTGGAAGCAGAACAAAACACGTATTTAAAATATTTTTTTATAAAGATTATTAGTAATGTGTTATTGCACAAATTACTATAGTCCCGTTAGCCCCTCGTACTAAGCTAAATATGCTGGTGTCACGAGTGAGCTCACTACAATAGTCTAGCGGCGCGGCGGTGTGGGGACCGAACCCGCGTTCCCCGGATCACGAGTCGGCCAGTCCGACCCCTTCACCGTTCGGCTATCGTGGCTTCATTTTTTTTTTCAACGTTTGGGCATTTTAAATGTATTTTTATAGTTCCAGTTTAATTTTAACTGCTTGGGACCAGTAATGTGGTCGCCGGTGATTGCTAAGTAGTTCAGGTGGTAGTTCAAATCCCGATAAGGGAGAATGTTGCTAGATGAAACATGATATGGTACATATACATTATACATTAATTACTTACCATTTTAATATGTTATCTAGTGTAGTAAACTCTATATTTAGTTTGGTACTACGAGTAAGCGATAGTTAAAACCACGTATAGCAATTTGATAAGATGTTAAATTATCTGGGTCGCTAAATACAGGTTTTGCTTAATTTAATTACCTACTATTGATATAGGTAGATAGCTCCTACGTATACATAAGTTGACAAATGCCTTTACACCTCCGTAATACTACGTAATGGAGCTTTTTAGCCACCAGATAACCCGTCGATCGTGAATATCCCAACAAGATTATTCAACGAGAAGTCCTCAGTCATATTTGGTCCTAAAATCCTAATCAGAAGCCGATAATCTATAACGGAAACCCATACCCGAGGCGCGATGTAACGTATGCCACAAAATTACGTACATTCCTACCGCTAAGGGAATATGTGTTCTAGTTTACATAACTGTGGATTTCTAGTTTGTACGGATTTAGAATCATCTCTCCGGGTGGCGGAGCCAGCACGCAATTAGTGCTTATGGGCTGGTACGCAACTCGTCAATTTAAAACTTGCAACTGTAACACATAAGACATCCTGTGAGAATTTGCTAATTGGATCACGATTGGAATTTGATTCTAGAGTTTTATAATTCATCCTTGAACATGAGAGGTGAAAGCAAGCGGTTCATTAAACAGAGTTATCCGATAAATAATAAACATAATCATTCACACTTTGAATGCTAAGATTTGTATAACAGTTTAGGTATCGTATTCTAAAAACGGCCCAAATTCTTAACCACAGCAGGGAAGCACCTAAATTGACCTGCACCTTTATTTCACAGAAATTCACTGTACTTAATTAACACCAAGGCTGTGAATATGTCAAGCATTGGACCAGAGGCAAAGAATGCATTTCGGCAAAAATGGTGTGATGCCTTCTCTCTAACTCGGCATGGGGCACACTGAAAACCAGCGTCGTGGCCTTCCTCACCGTGAGCCACGGCATATGCTGAGATGGGCATCGCTGTGCGACAGGGTGGTACTGCTCACTTTACTTTCCCTTCCATTGTATGTTTTATGTGTTACCTCTGTCTTTTTTGTTTTTTTTATTTACCTCTTTTGTCTTTTGTGATGTCCATTGCAATAAATATTTCTTTCTAAAGCCTGGTCCGTGCGCACGTAGAATCCCGTCCAATGACCCCAAGCTACCCATCCCTATCACTCGCGCGTAATTATGTTGCTGTCGCGACTGTGCGACGGGCGCCCGCAGTGAGTGTGCGAGCGCGACAGCAATACTTGCTCACGGATAAGTAAATACTAACTGCTGAAAAAAAACTTCGGCTCTAACTTATTGACTGACCTTCATCACACAGCATGCCGCCCCATCCCGGTTCACACGTGCACTCCCAAGGCCTCTCACACGTCCCGTGCACGCAGCCTGGGTACGGATGGCACTGGGCGCACGACGGGCCGGTCCAGCCGACCTTGCAGCGGCATTCGCCCGGCCGCCGGCAGTAACCTCGCTCATTGTGGCAACCGGCAGCGCAAATTGCTGGGGGAAAATTTATAAAGTCAACCAATATTAAAACATTTCGTTTTAAGAGTAAAAGGTGCTCAGAGAAACCGTCAGTCTTAAAATCGATCACGCACAACACATGGCGGAAAGCCGAGCGCAATAATCTATGTTTGTTTACTCAATTTTACGTTATACTTCGGTACAGTAACAATTTAATTGTGAGAGAAGTGGTGTCAGAACTAGGGCAAGAGGCTGTATGCCAGTACTCTGTAGATAGCATAGAGTAGAAGGTAAACACAACATTGGAAGAAGCTTACATAAGTTAGGTAGAGAGCAGGTAAACCTGATCCTGGCAAAGATAATCTTTCGTCTTTTAAACATATCCTCTAAATAGCTGTCATATTTTACAGAGATCCAAATCGAATTACATCTAGAGACTGCATCTTGTAATTAGCTGAATCTATTACGTTAATTGGGAATCTAAATTAGGATGATTAGGATTAATTGAGTACAAATGACAGCAGTAAATTATAGTAATTATCCAAAAAAGTAACGCGATCCGAGGGATCTATACGTGCAGTACCGTGCAGTAACAAGTCGCGTTCCGCGGATAAAATAGTCTTCGCCATCGCCTTGCTATGGTGGTTACGTGCACAGTTACGTGGTTGAACTGTCCTCTACGATAGTTTTTTTGGACCGTTAGCCCTTCGCAGCTTCGTGATAAGCTAAATATGCTAGTGTTACGAGTGGGTACCTAAACCACAATAATTCAGCAACAGCGGGGTTTGAACTTGCATCCCTCGGATCTCGATTCAGCCTAGCCAGTCCAACACCGACACCATTGGACTATTGTCGCTATTTAATACTTACGAGTCTGGCACAGCAGTCCAGTGTACCCTGGCGAGCACTTGCACTCTAAAGGCTTGTCGCAGTAGCCGTGCTGACAGCCGGGCAGGGACTGGCAGGCGCGGCAAGTGGGCCCGGACCAGCCGAGGCGACAACGGCACTCGCCGGGCGTCTCACAGTAACCGCGGCCGGCTGAGACTCTAACCATGATAAGTATTTAACACTTACCGAGTCTGGCACAGCAGTCCAGTGTACCCTGGCGAGCACTTGCACTCTAGAGGCTTGTCGCAGTAGCCGTGCTGACAGCCGGGCAGGGACTGGCAGGCGCGGCAAGTGGGCCCGGACCAGCCGAGGCGGCAACGGCACTCGCCGGGCGTCTCGCAGTAACCGCGGGTGGCTGTGACTCTAACCATGATAAGTATTTGACACTTACGAGTCTGGCACAGCAGTCCAGTGTACCCTGGCGAGCACTTGCACTCTAAAGGCTTGTCGCAGTAGCCGTGCTGACAGCCTGGTAGGGGCTGGCAGGCGCGGCAAGTCGGCCCGGACCAGCCGAGGCGGCAACGGCACTCGCCGGGCGTCTCGCAGTAACCGCGGGTGGCTGTGACTCTAACCATGATAAGTATTTGACACTTACGAGTCTGGCACAGCAGTCCAGTGTACCCTGGCGAGCACTTGCACTCTAAAGGCTTGTCGCAGTAGCCGTGCTGACAGCCTGGTAGGCGCTGGCAGGCGCGGTAAGTGGGCCCGGACCAGCCGAGGCAACAACGGCACTCGCCGGGCGTCTCGCAGTAACCGCGGGTGGCTGTGACTCTAACCATGATAAGTATTACACTTACGAGTCTGACACAGCAGTCCAGTGTACCCTGGCGAGCACTTGCACTCTAAAGGCTTGTCACAGTAGCCGTGCTGACAGCCTGGTAGGGACTGGCAGGCGCGGCAAGTGGGCCCGGACCAGCCGAGGCGGCAACGGCACTCGCCGGGCGTCTCGCAGTAACCGCGGGTGGCTGTGACTCTAACCATGTTAAGTATTACACTTACGAGTCTGACACAGCAGTCCAGTGTACCCTGGCGAGCACTTGCACTCTAAAGGCTTGTCACAGTAGCCGTGCTGACAGCCTGGTAGGGGCTGGCAGGCGCGGCAAGTGGGCCCGGACCAGCCGAGGCGACAACGGCACACGCCGGGCGTCTCGCAGTAACCTCTAGTAGCTGAGACTCTAACCATGATAAGTATTTGACACTTACGAGTCTGGCAAAGCAGTCCAGTGTACCCTGGCGAGCACTTGCACTCTAGAGGCTTGTCGCAGTAGCCGTGCTGACAGCCTGGTAGGGGCTGGCAGGCGCGGCAAGTGGGCCCGGACCAGCCGAGGCGACAACGGCACTCGCCGGGCGTCTCGCAGTAACCGCGGGTGGCGTGGCAGTCGGAACGGCAAATTGCTGGGTAAACAAAAGATAAATAATGTAATATTTTATTCAGTTTATGTAGTTAATTCACTGGCATTAAGTCCGCCTTTTTACAGTGCATGTAAGTTCTACATAAATGGTACCTATTGGTTTGAGGTGAGATTAATTTATTAACAATGCAGTTCATAAAACAAGTGAAAGAATTATTGGAAAAGAGTTACAAGAGTGTGATTCACTCCAGCACGTCACGTCTCACTGCTTACTTGTTCTGAATCGTCAGTTTTATTGATTGTAAAGAGGAGCGGTTTTTCTTGTCACAGGCAATGTATGGCTCTACTGATATTTCGATACACCACCTTACCACGGTACCGTGACCTTACTTCAACCGTAACTATAACCTTAAGGGGTGTTTTTGTGTGCAGTTTGACAGATTTTTGACGATTATTAAAATTAAAGTAAGATGGTGCAACCCGTGCAACCCGGAGGCAAAAAAGACAAGTGGAAAAACAAAACCACTTACGTTCAGAACAGAAGAGTCCGTCCCACCCCTCCCTGCAAATGCACTCGAAGGAGACGTTGCAGTAGCCGTGCTGGCAGCCCGGCAGCGGGATGCACTTGTTGCATTTCTCCCCGTAGAAGCCCAGCTTGCAGCGGCACTCGCCCGGCCGCTTGCAATAACCTTTACAATATTGAAAAAATGTTTTACACGAAGAAAAATTGAGTTTAATTATATTTCGTGAACTTGTAGGTTAGCGTCTTTCACAGGTCAGGTCCCACTAGTATAAATCTTAGGTAGGTAGTATTTACTCAACGAAGCCTTTTTTCCTACAACGAGGAAGCCCTTGGCCTGCATCTCACCTAATGGAAAGTGATGATCAGACCGAAGGTAGAAGCGAGCTTCACTCGGAATCCTCAACCACAAGGAGCTTATCTCCTAAGTCCTACCTTACCTTACCTTATCCGGTTACCGGAACACAACAAGGCGCAAGTAGATACTTACGTCATTTAACATTACTATGATGTCTCACAGTGCGCGTGGACGCACAGGGTGACATATGAACCAATCACAGAGCTCTATTCACGCGTTCGTATTGCTGCTTCACTTAAGCAAGCATCGTTTGTGAATACTAGCGTATCTATACTAGTATAGCACTAAGTTCTGTTTATGCTAAGTGCCTACTTCTAGGTCAATATTTATTACATTAACATTAGTAAGTCCACAACAGAAAGCTCTCTTGTTGTAGACTTTCACGGCGAGAGTTGCTTGCATACACGGTAAAGCTTTTGTTCAACTTCTTTGTCACTTAACAACGAGGACAATGACTCTATCCCGTAGAATAAAAGATAACAGTTACCATACACCGTTGATTAACAGTATGCCATTTATAGCAAAGAATACAAATGGCGCCCGACGTGGGGTTTGTAAAATTTTCAACAAACAACAACAACAACAAAGCAGATATTTGACTTCAATCACACCTGATGTTGAGCGACATGCGGTCTAGGATGGTACATACTTGCCCTGTATGTGCCTATTTACTCTCGCCTTTTTGCATCTATCTAATGGCGGACAATATTCCAAATGTTATTTTGGTAGGTACTTAGAACAATGACTTCTGCTTTTCAGTTTGTGCAGTAGCAGGGCAATCCGAGATCATAATACCTACTTATAAAGTCTACCTCTACCTTCAAGAGAGTCACTTTCGGTCATGATGATGAGTGAATGCCTCCAAAGAAACATGGCTTGCTTTTACTATGTGGAATAGTTCTTACCCTGCAGAGGATCGCATCCTTTCTTGCATATGGGCACGTCACAGAGGTCTCCCTGCCAGCCAGGCAGACACTTGGGCTCGCCCTTGTCGTCACACACGTAGTGGCTGTGCTCGCTCTGAACCGCCGGCAGCTCGCACGCCTGCAGGGCACTCTTTGGAGTATACACGGAAGGTGTGAGTGAGGGTACGTGCGAACAGATGTGTAGCTAGAGCTTATACAATGGTGCGTGATTCGTGCAAGAAGTAGAGTTACAGGACGTATCAAATCAACACACAATATTTATTTGACATCATGCATAAAATTTATGTTACCAGTTTCGTTTCTTGTTAGCACAAAGAAAGACTATCATTATATTAGTTTAATAGGATGGAAGATTAGGCTACTAAAAATTTTCCTTTCATCATTAATCGTGATAGCCCGCCATTAATCATGCGTAAGTGAATTAGTTATTCGTCCTTTTCGTGCAATTTATTATTATCAAAATACTAATAAAAATGCTTTTATTGAAGTAAGTACATATAGGTTTTATTTAGTCATTTAATGTAGCCTACGTAGTAAGGATAAAATATTAAAAAGGCTCCACTTTCGTTCCATCCTATCGCAGGATCTGGTTTGTATGCGCGATCTCCGTGACTCAACGGAACTTTCTAATATCGAGAAAGCCGCGCGAAAGTCGGCCGCGAGGAAAACCCGGAGAAAATATTAAATAAACATCGCAATATTAAATTATACAACAAATTACAATACCTCGCAACAATTATTTACATATTTTACAAAATTAACTATTAAGTAGTTCTACAGCGAACTCTACATTTTCCACTTTTGTTACCAAACGCAAGATTGTACAAATCCCGCGCGCCTTTTGGTAAGATCTAAGACATTTTTTGCTAAAGCACTTGTGCACTATTCAGTGCAAATTGCGTAGAAATTCTTACAAAAAATAAATTCCTACTTTTAAGATGCAATTTCAGGGCAGCTATGCTGTTTGCAATTCCAAATACACACAATAAGTATGTGCTAGCAATGTGCGGCCCACTGTATCATAGACGGTAAAATTTTCTGGAAAATTTTTAGTAATGATACCTGTCGAGTTACCGCGAATTAATCCTACAACCATTTTCAATTAAGAAATAATTTCACCTGGTATTTGATACATTACATCGCTGAGAATTTCATACATTGCATTGATTAGTTTGATCAGTTTTGCGCCTATTGCTGTGTTAAGACATAGTAATTAAATCTTTTATAGAAATAATCAGACTTTTATTGACTACACGAATAGAGCACGAAAAATAACTTCTACGTAAAAAAGCGAAAGCAGAAAAGTCAGAGTTTAAGTTGATACGTGACTTACCTGTTTCTTCCACTTGGGTATGTACTTAGCCGGCAAAACAACTGGCGCCACACAACATATTACGAACAAAATGATTATATTCCTCATTTTGGAGCACTAATCCATCTACGTTCCCGGCACGGTACTTATGTCGCGAATCGTCAAGTGCAAGCTGTATATTTAACGGTGTATTTTTTATAGGAATATAGACACAAATGCAGCGCGCGCGCACTCTCCGCTGGTACTGTTATGCGTGTTATTGAACTTGAGTCGGATGGGCAACTTTCGCCGCGGTCGCTTTTTACGAGGCCACGAAATAGGCGGCGCGAGTCAGTGGTTGGTTATGTTGCAGTCAAAACTCATAATCGGTTAAAACCACTTTTGACCGCAACAATCAGTCAAAAGTGGCTTTGACTGATGCTCTTGGTCAATATCACTTTTGACTGATTTTTCCAGTCAAAAGAGATTTTGACCAAAGGCATCAGTCAAAACCACTTTTAGCTGTAAAGAATCAGTCTAAATTCGTAGGAAGTATTATTATTAGTGAAAATTACTTGGAAATCATGAAAAATGTGTTAAAAAACCATTTCAAAGTCTAATTTTTTGTTTGTTTTTGTTCTAACTTTTGAAAACGCTGTTCTTATGGCCCCACTAATTCTATTAGTGACATACCTATTCCAGTGTAGTGCCTGAGACTTATAACCCAGTGGAAATGCAAATATTTAAAATAAGTCTAGGCAAGGAGCTCTAGCGATTTTTATTACCCTCTTCCAACACTGGAACAACAAATTCCAGAATAATAGAGAAAAATAAAAGTCAGCATTACCTCGTACGTATTTATTACTGTTTGTTTATATTATTTTTTGTGTTCTATATACACTATAATGTAGTTTATAAAGCTATATACACATAATTTAGGTCCATGTTACATGATTTTACATTATCGAAGCTCTGAACATTATAATAGTATTATAAAAGTGTTTTACAACAAGAGCATAATAATAACAACCACTTACAATCAGAAGGAATAATAGGAAAAGCAATGGTTACAAGAATATTTATAAAAGTCAACTTCAATATCCATTAGAAAAATACACTACTTGTATTGCGTCGAATACACGCTTTCAATTCGAATATTAATAGTATTTAAGTTAAAACATCACGAATTAATTATATTTTGAAACATCTAGTAATTAGCCATCTCCATTCATTAATTATTATGATATTTCTTGAAGTTTCGATGTTTCTTGACGGTTGAATAAAATTTTATAAAAATCACGTCGTTAGATATCATGTAGTAACATTAACAAATGATAAGTAGAAATCAGAATTGATTATTTTCTGAATATCAAACATTTATAAGAATTATTGGCACAAAACGTTTTTTTCGACGGATTAAGTATTTTGTTACGGGATCAGCTAAGTATTGCAACTATTTTGATAACGACTAATATTAAATTATTATTATTTATTGACGATTGCAAATGAAAAGTGAACATGCGTTGTATAAGTCACACTTACTTTTTATACCATTATGCATTCACAATACGTACAATTGACATCGAGACGTGTCATATTTTCGTGCCGCGCATTACAATCGATGCTGAAACTCATAGATTTTGACTCATTGCCAGTTTAAGTAAAAGATTTCAGTGAAAGCGGATTTATCTGAATGTTTTTTTAAAAGAAAAAATCCGAATGTTTTAATAATACATCTCTGTCCCAAGTCTCAAATACACGAGTAAATTCAATTTGCTAGAATGAGTTGGTCGGACTTCAATGAACTAATTGCTTTTCCTAATTATTTTTGTTTACATAAATATTTATAAATAAGTAATACATACAAATGGATAGTACACTTTTACTCAACATTTAATCATAATTTAAGCTAAATATGTATTAGATACATTTCAGAAGTAGGCATGTTAATTTAAATATTTTCATGTCAAAGGATTTCATCAATATTTTGGAAAATCATTGCGACATCTATAATTAAAAATGATTTCTAATACCACCACGTCACTTGGCGTGTTAATCCAGCCAGAGCAAAATAGACCTTGTGTCTAATACACAACATATAGTATGACGAAACGAATATTTGTACAAATAGGCGATAATGCAGTAACGGAATCATGAAAAAAGTTCCAATCTATGAATTTACAGTAAAACTTAATGCTTTAAAAATCAGCATGGCATTTCCCATAGATTTAATATAAATTACAACAGTCTACGACATTATAACTTAAGAATAGTCCATTTTTATTCGAGTCTGGTCTCAACATAATCTCATCCAGATATAAATATGGTTTAGGTACATTATACACCTCACAGACTTTTCGGGCTAAATAAATAACGAGTTTCATAATAAATAATAATAAAATTAAAATTGAGATAGTTTTAGCTTCTTGCCATCAGCCGAGGCAATTTTTTGTCAAATTACGAAGTGGTGCCTATATCAGCTCAAATTGGCATGCAGCTATGTCATGGGAACATAGCTCGTATCAATATGCATGCCTCGCCGAATCCGTGCCAGCCTTGTTTAGCTAGATCTACATGCCAGGCGACACATATTAGTAATTTATTTTGTATATTTAGTACGACCGCACCTTTCCACACCATCTTACATTATACAAAATTACACCTTACACCACCGTAATAAAGATTGCGATCAACGGCGACTATTCGCCTGCTAAAACCAAATAAGCACCGAATCGTTCCAACTTTTACCGTTGTAACCCCAGTTGACAGTTCCTCTATAAATATTAATAAAAATAAAAACGAAAAAGAATAAATAATTAATATAAATATCTTTCTTCGAATAATTTGCGACATGCATGTGACTAACTTAAATCAGATCGTAAAAAGTGGCGAATAACACATCTAATAAAACTGCTTATATCACTAAAATATTCTAGATATGAATTAAGCCCTGTGTATATTGCGTGTTTAAACAAATACAGGGTGAAACTATTGCGATGATTTTTTATAATTATTATAATACTCACTGTTATGTGTAAATTCTTAACGTTTATGTTATTGCCTAATGAAGTGTTTACAAACCAGTGTCGAAGGTTAGGTTAAATGTCACAGTTATACAGAGTGGATTACTGGAGAGACATTTTGGAGATATTCAAACCAACATTCACAGATTTGTAAGAAAAAATCAATGATTAAGAAAACGAGTAACTTACACAGGTTTAATGCCAATCGATCCCGTTTCTGATAAGTACCAAAAGTTTGAATGTTCGACTGATATTAAAGTAAAGAAAATCACTCTCAAATGTAAATTTTATACGAAATCTTTGAATGTAGATAAAAATTTCCACAAGTAAGGTGTCCTAAAAAGAATTCATTTATCAAGGTTTTTAGTCAAATCCACCCTATGTCGTTCCATTAGAATTCATTAGATGATACTTAACTGCTTGTTACATATCCACGTAGGTTACAAAACGGATTACACGCTGTGTCCACTTGTCAACATATTTGTCGTATTACGTTATATGACACATCAATATCTTGTTTACCACAGCCCTAGGTTTTCTATTCTATTGTTTCCCGACTGTTGAAAAGAGGCTCGTATAATCCATTTCATACTACTTGTATTAATGAACTTTTAAAAACTTTCAGATTTTAGAATACACATCACCATTTTGACTATTAATAAAGTTATAGTATTTAAAAACTTGTTGGATAATGTGACTTATTTATAACATCTATACAAGGTGATTAAAGTAGCAATAATATTAAGAAGGTATGTAAAATGTTACTCCAATTGCATTTAATCAATTAAAAATATCAAAACCCACAACATCCACACAAGCAATATAAAAATTTAAAATACCAGTGAAAGTTTTACTCCATAAGTATCACAATTCGAATGTTACAAAATACTATTTTTGACTAAAACTGGTAAAACGTTACTACTGATACAAAATTACTGTAATTTGTCACATCAACGAGGCCGGCTCTATAGTCTATGGATCAGTTCTAGACTCTATGTTTAATTTTTATCGTATGCTTATGATATAAATGCAAAAATATATTTTATATTTTTTTGATAAAAGACGGAAGTACTATCGTGATCTAATTTTTTTTCAATGGTGTATGTTTTTCGTAATTTTTCATGTAATGTGGTAAGTTTTTTGGCTTACTTGATTCGGGAATGTCAAATGGTAAGAGATTAAAATCAACATCTAAAATATGGACAACACATGGGCTACAAATAAATAAACTATTTTACATATAAACTTAAATAAATATCACTATATTACAAAAGATGTATGTATATGACAGCATGAGTTTTATGTGTCAGAACATAACCATATTCAGGATAACCAGGAATATATAACATCTCCTAATAAACTTCAAGACATATTATGCTGTTTCATTTTGTCACGTTTCCGATATTCATAAAATTAAGGAATAAAACAGGTCTTTGACAGAAACCATTGGAATGTCAACATCAATGGTGTAAAAATAGTATGGAACGTATAAAAGGAAATAAATATTATGTACACTACTTTTAATACATGGACAAACACACGAAGGGTTAAATGTTTCACGTACTCTGGACATAACCAAAAAACACCTACCAAAACCTATAAGAGTAAATCGTAGAGAATGTTATTTTTACATGAGTTATCAAGTAAATAATAAAGAGAATTTATCTTCAAAGCTTTCCGATTTGTCATGAAGATTTATAATATTTATGCAGTTACATTCCTATTAATACGTATTTCCAGTGACCATAGCAGTACTGAAAGAACAGTGAGCCTAGGAATTATTGAGTTATTTTTACTGCCATACCGTAAATGCAAAACCATAGGAATACTAATATTATCTACATGGCAAAGATCACAAACTATATCGTATGCTCATTGACTCAGTCAAATGCCAATTTCATCAAATTCTTGAACATATCACATGAAAGAAAGTATTATTTTTGACTTACCATTTTGTATGATGTCAGTAAAATTTAGATCAACATATCTGGTAACTTAGATTCGCGTAAAGACGGCCATGCTTCCTTTGAATTCTATATGTATTTTTTATACAGGGTGGAAACGATAAGTGATCTCACTCGATTATTTCTAAACTATACAAGATATCAAAAAACTAGTTACTGATCCTGAAAGTGCTTCATGAGCTCTATCAAACGGTACCAATAACAGGTTAAATAATAAACTGGATCTATCCGAAAATTCAATGTTTCCGGCTTCCATACATTTGGTACAGCCTCATAATATTAAAAACTACAAAAGATATCGTAAAATTGGTTACTGATCTTAAAAGTGCTTCACGAGCTCTATTCAATGGTATCAATATTAAGTTACAGAATAAACTGAATCTATCTAAAAATTCAATGTTTCCATCTTCCGTTTTTCGATATCTTGTATAGTTTAGAAATAATCGAGTGAGATCACTTATCGTTTCCACCCTGTATTATTATATTTATGCTGCTGTTTATTCTTCAGTCTTACCTATCGATTTACATAAGAGTAAGAAAATCCTGCTATCACCTGACAGGGGCAGGCGACAGCAATAATATCTTTTTGCTCAATTCTTAATTCTTTCTTCTTCTTCTCTCGTGATGTTTCTGTTGATTATGAGTTTTGACTGCAACATTTCCACGTTTTCCAATGTCACGTGAACAAAGAATTTCTTAATTCATTATCTTTCGAATTCTCTCTAAGCTAAGGCTTCTGCCGATAACTTCTTCATTGATTATTAAAAATTGTACTCATGTTTTTACTTTTTCATAACCGCCAAGATTGTTAGGAATTACTACATTCAAAGAAAGCACGGTCGAACTGTTCGCTTACTGACACAAATTTAAAATACACTAACAACAAAATACAGTGCAGTAAAATTCAGATCACTTTTCAAGATTCCAATGCGAATAAACCTTAAAATGAATTTTAATGTAACCAATATTACTGTGCGTTCTAAGCATTACTTTAGGGGTCATTTCATGTGTCAATTTGTACACTAAACTGTTAAAAGGCGCGTACCGTTCTTTCAATAAATATGAAAACATGTTTTAAAATTGTTTTATTTAAAGTAGTGTGAGGTTTCAATACTAAAATAGATTTGGAAAATAGATATTAATCGAACAAAATGATCGTATGTTATTTTAATGCCTAATCGTACGATCAATATCATAAGATTCAAAATCGCCTGGCTATACACCACAATACGCCTCCTACATTTATTGAAAGAACTGTACACCTAATTACAAAAATTTCGTCGCACTCCGTGAAGTCTTGAGCAAAAACGTAAACTACAGTCGACAGCACCTCAGACGTACATTGTAGTTGCAAAACAGCACTTATTGCGACTACATTAGGTACTGTTTAAAGTCCGGTAGCCGAGCAGATAGAGCGCGTAATAATATTGCTGTCGCGCTCGCACACTCACTGCGGCCGCTCGTGGCACAGTCGCGACAGCAATATAATTACGTGCGAGCGATAAGGATGGGTAGCTCGGGGTCATTGGACGAAATTCTATCTGCTCGGCGTCCGGACTTTAGCTTGTCGTGTCGTTGTCTGTACCTGGGTTGTTCACAGCTCGCTAGTTCTATAACTCCTTCTGTCGCGTGTCGGAGTACATGGGGACTTCTTTGTACTCCGGGAACGGGTATAAGACGAGGTGGTCCGCGGTCTTATACCACGGGACTAGACCGTTCTGAAATGGGAAATTGGATTTTAAAAAATCGACAACACACAAATATAGTTTTATGTTGAAAAATGGTTTCTGCAGAATACCAGTGGCCGTAACGTGCTTCCGAGTACGTTATTGCCTCATACTGAGCAGAGACCAATTTGGTACAACAATTTTATTATTTTTGCTTTATATTGTCAATGTGTATCATTTAGTACCAAATAAATATTTTTCTTTCTTTCAAAAATAGTTTTTATTACAACTCAACAAGACGCCACAGTGTTTAGGCTAGGCAAGACTTAGCAAAAACATTGACAATAACATCAAGTATAAGTTCCATTTATCAAGAAAAACTTTCATCTTTTTTCCGTTATCTACTATATAAAAATAAGTCGGGTTTTCCTCCCTGACGCTATAACTCCAGAAAGCACGAACCGATTTCCACGGTTTTGCATTCGTTGGAAAGGTCTCGGGCTCCGTGAGGTTTATAGCAAAGAAAATTCGGGAAAAGGGGGTAAAACGGGATCCACGCGTACGAAGTCGCGGGCGGCCGCTAGTATCTTCTAAACTTTATTTTGATTTGCTTAGGTTTTATCTTGTACGCTTCATTGAAAAAGTGAAACGTGAGTATAATCTTTCATCGGACATAGCAACTCTTTATATGCGTTGTAGTCCAGTAAGCAACCAAACTTGTATCATCAAAAAAACAAACAACATCAACCGAATAGCATTGTTATTATCATTATGTTATGTTTCTGACGCATGCCACTCACCACATTAGTTCGTTTGTTGGTGCCCCGACCGTAACCGTTCCAGTGGTTACCCGCTATGCCGATTAGGTCGCCCACCTGAACAAATAATTGTATTATGTTGTTGTACCTAAAATAAATAAAATAACGATGAAATATCTCTATTACCGAATTATACCGAATAAACTCGACTTCGGAAAAACATAAGAATAATTGACTAATTAGGCAATAAAGTGTAATTGATTCAATCTTTCTATTGTGTAGGTCCCCTTTCTTTTGACACTGTAGGGTTGATTGGCTATCAACCCAATAAAAAAAATGTCTTCTTCTTCTTAAGTCGCGAATCACGCGCGATGCAGCTCGTGTACGAGCCAAACGGCAACCTTCGGTGAGGGAGGAATATTCATCATCATCATCATGTCAGCCATAGGACGTCCACTGCTGAACATAGGCCTCCCCTAATGCTTTCCACGTTGATCGATTGGTAGCGGCCTGCATCCAGCGCTTCCCTGCTACCTTTACGATGTCGTCGGTCCACCTTGTAGGTGGACGTCCCACGCTGCGCCTTCCGGTACGCGGCCTCCATTCCAGAACCTTGCTGCCCCATCGGCCGTCAGTTCTGCGCACTATGTGCCCTGCCCATATTGTACCATACATGAGGGAGGAATATTGCCGAAACAATTTTTTTTTTTTATGCATAACAAGGCAGGTATTTGACCACAATCGCACCTGATGTTAAGTGGGATGCAGTCTAGGATGGTACATATCTGCCCTGTAAGTGCTTATTCACTCTCGCCTTGAAGAGGCCCGGATTATAGTTTTCGATCGACCACAATAGTCGGGTTTCAGTTTGCTTCAAATACCTGCAGGAAGATTTCTTGCCCCGTGCCAGCCCTGTGAGCGTTTTTACCGCCGAAGTAGTAGATTTCGTAGTATAGATGTATTGATGCTAGATAAGTATGGACCACGGTAACCAGTAACAGCGTTCAGTTTCCTATAAGGGTCATTCCATAAAAATCTGTATAATTTAGACGTCATTTTGTCCCAAACTTTTTTAAGATGCTTTTGAATACTTTATTAGTGTAAATTATAGTTTATTAATTAATTATGTTATGTCTAAAAGGGCCAGTCACTTTATGCTTTATTTTAGGAGAAATTATAATTTTCAATTTTTTCATACTACACTACTCCTATATGACTTTTAATAAAGTATAAAACTTATAACCTTAACATTTATAGGTAAGTTAATATACTTAATGTAGTTGTTTTGTTATTATCACTATATAAAAAACGTCATTCCGTAACTACTAACTTACGTCTCTAGTGCCATTTTAAGCTAGGGCCTGACGTCTAGGGACTGACGATTTGGAGTAAAACTTGACACAAATGCAGATTAACTTTATATTATAAGATGCTTAATACGATGTGCCGAAAATAGCCGAAAATCCACATGTAAATACTATTAAATTATATACAATTTCCTATTGTAATCAATAAAGCTACTCAACTAGGGACTGACGAAGTGACTGGATCAACACATGTTTCCACAACAACTGGCACGTTTGCACTTATTCAAAAAACGGCTGCCGCAAAGCCAGTATGGTCTGAGGATAACTTCGTATCGTACTTTAAACTCAACTAAATGTCATTCACTCTAAATACATATTAAAGCGCAAAATTATAAGATCAATGCTTGGCGAGGGAATGACGCTAAAAGCTGTGGACACTTTTTCAACTAAAGAAAATCAAATTATTGTTTATTGAAACTGCAAAATATTAATAGAATTTGGTGTAATGCACGTTTAAATAGATTATTCCTTAATTAAAACAAAGGATCAAGTTGATGTTTCTATAAATATGGGTTCCAAAACACAAACTTTTGGAGTACGGACCTGCCTAGGGAATGACGTTTTGGGTCATTCCTTTTGAATTTAAGATTTTTTATAAATAGTTTTTAAAAATATAAATGGGTGATGATTAAAACACATTGCGAGCTGTTATTTAACAATTTTGGAATAAAATATTAACAAATATTCCATGTGAAATGTGGCGCTGACTAAGAGTTGACATATTTTTGTGGAATGACCCATAACACACTTGCAGTGATATCTCCTGCCTCGCTCCAGCGGTATGGGGCAGCACTGCGACGCAGTCGTGCCCGTCGAAGTAGTAGTTATATTGCCAAAGTAATATCAACCATAACTACCGGTAATACGGTTCATTACCTGTAGTGATATCTCCTGCCCCGCGCCAGCTGTGTGGGGCAGCACAGCGACGCGGTAGTGTGCGTTCTGGCCGCCAAAGTAGTAGATGCATTGCCAAAGAAATACCGACCGTAATAACCAGCAACATGGTTCAGTTTGCTCTAACACACCTGTAGTGAGATCTCCTGCCCCGCCGACCGTGTGCGGCAATACATACAAGACGCGGTGGTGCGCGTAGATATAATGCCAAGGCATTATCGACCATAACAACTATAGTCTGGTCCGTGAGCACGTAGAATTTTGTCCAATGACCCCTGGCTACCCATCCTTATCGCTCGCGCGAAATTATGTTGCTATCGCGCTCGCACACTCACTGCGGGTGCCAGTGGCACAGTCGCGACAGCAATATAATAACGCGCGAGCGATAAGGATGGGTAGCTTGGGGTCATTGGACAAAATTCTATGTGCTCACGGACCAGGCTTTAGATGCCGTAGTGTTAATGTATTGCCGCAGCAATATCGACCATAATAACTAGTAATACGATTGCTATAACATACCTGTAGTGAGATCTCCTGCCCCGCTCCAGCTGTATGGGGCAATACAGCGACGCGGTCGTGCGCGTTCTGCCCGCCGAAGTAGTAAATATCGTCGAGCGAGAAGAACGCGTTGGACGCGTCCACGCGGTTAGTTTGCATCATCTCGTACGCCACGCGGCCGACCTGGAGACACAAATAAATTATAAGATTTTAAACTTTCGCGTTCCATTTCAACTAAAATAGTAAGACACAAGATAGTAAGACAAGCCTAAATCAAAGCACCCGGGGAAAAGAGCCCAGAGCAAGTACCCGCGCGCTCTCCAGAGATTCGGTTCGTACGCCGTGAGGCAGGAAGTACCATGGGTGGTGGTGGGTTAAGCCTAAATGAATAGTAAACCCGCCCGAACGGACGACGCCGTGAACCGCCAGTCTGCTTGTGCCCACGGCCGCAGCATCGCAGCCGAAACGTCAAGCCGTGAGTACATAATGTAACTTATTAATAAACGTCGCGTTAAGACCCGTGTCTTACTATTTTAGTACAAATGAAGTAATTCACCTACTGGTAAGACACTGGCTCCTAAAAGTCGTGGCCTTCCTCACCGGGGGCCACGGCATATGCTGAGTGGGCCAGGGGTCCCATTGTGATGGACATCGCTGTGTGACAGGGTGGCATTGTTCAGTTTACTTTCTCTTCAATTGTATGTTTTATGTGTTACCTCTGTCTTGTTTGCTTTTTTTTATTTACCTCTTTTGTCTTTTGTGATGTCCATGGCAATAAATGTTTCTTTCTTTCTTTCTTTCTTCTTTCTAAAATACACTAGTTTAGGAGTCGTTTCAATATAAAATGTTACAGTGTATTTACATCAATACACATATTCTTAAGTATTAATTTAATGGTGAGTGGTGAACCTCAATGGTGCAACGGCTTTCCTACTTATTCTTAACAATAAATACTTTATACATAAAATTAAAATGACTTTCTTTTAGACACTCATCAGACAGCTCCTGTGAAAACTACTTATGGTATGGTAGCATGTATCCAAATACCTCTACGAAATCCTTGACCATATTGTCGTTTATTTATCAGGCAATTAATCATGTTAATGAATAGTGCAAAGTAAAAATACGCGTATACATCCATATTATTTGTCTATGATACTGTGTCGATAAGTGCAACCACAACGTTTGTTTAGGTCCGCAATAAGTAGTCCATGGTAGAAACGTAAATAGCTAACGGATTAGTTACTTCATACCAGTCTAAGACTGATTTGCAACACCTTACTGTAACCGTATCTACGAGTATATCAATAACCGGTGTCTTGTATGGAGTTTGAGAAACTTTTGACGTTAAAGTAAGATGGTGCACCCAGCCTAAATGATCCCATATAGTAATCAAAATGTCCTCACCTGGCTACTAAACGTGCAGACGATATAATCGCACATAGACAGCATGTGTAAATCCACCAGCAGTCCCGTAAGCGACAGCGGCGTGTAGCGGCGGTGCGTGGCCGCCGTTTTAGCGATTGACGGGTCGCCAAGGAACTCATACTCGGGGAATTTCTTACGTGCGTCTTCTAGCACCTGTAATAAGACATGTTTTTGCTTGAACAGTGACTAATTATTGACTTAAACTCTAAGGTTGACAGTAATATTCGAGGATCTTTTGCGTGCGTCTTCTAGCACCTGCAATAGGGCATGTTTTTGATTGAACAGCTGCTAATTATTCTTAAAGTTCTAAGGTTGACGAGCCTTGTCGGTCATTCAAGTTAATTCAAATCTAATTTAAATCTGAATTAACTAACTAAACCAGAAACATTATTTCACCAGGTGAGATGTAGGCAACTTCGTCTTTGTAAATTAAAAAGAAAATGTAATCAAATTGTTACTTTTTTCCAGAATGAATACCTACGTAATTGTACTAAAATTAATTATTATGTCATTTATATTGTTAATATACAATACCATAACTACTATAATTATCATTAGTTATAGCAATTAAATTTTACGCAAATCATAATTTTTAATTTTTGATTAAAAATAAACATATTTGCAATATAAATTGGACTTTAAAACATTAATCGATTACTCAATAACACGGTGTTGCAAATAGGCAGTAAAATCCATTATGAAAACAATTTCACTTTTTATTGCCGATATAAACACAATGGAGTGATCGTTTACAATGTGAAATAGTTAACAATGTTATGTCACATTCCATGATATGTTACGTTAAAAAGTGACGAGCATCAATTAGCAGTAGAGCTCTTTTGTTTTTGCGATTATGTGACCTGTATGATATTTTGATTAAAAGGTATTTTTCCGACTGTATCCTGTGTGATTTCTGCGCGGGGCGTTAAGAGAACGCTTACCGTAGTAATCTATCTCTATCTCTGTCGCTTATGCTGACATCTAGTTTTGCGTGAGAGTGATGGAAACATTCGGAATTTCGAATAAGATTGTAAGCAGTGGACCCGCTGATCCTGGAGTTCGTATGGTATAGGGTTGCCTAATGAAAATCTTACTAATTTCCACTTACGTTAGCGTCATCAGTGGCAAGGTAGACTCGCCTCACGTCCACAGTCCGCGTGAGATGAAGCTGGTCGTAGTAGTCTTTGACGTGCGTCATATACTCGTGGATGTGGTGGAACGCCGCTTCCATATCCACTTTATCTGTAGCCGCAGTTATTGAATACTGACCCTAAAGTAGTACGTATGTAGGCTTACTTTAGCAAATTACTTACGTTAGCGTCATCGGTGGCAAGGTAGACTCGCCTCACGTCTATAGTCCGCGTGAGCTGAAGCTGGTCGTAGTAATCCTTGACATGTGTCATATATTCGTGGATGTGGTGGAACGCCGCTTCGGTGCCCACTTTATCTGTCCTTCGTATATGTACGCTGCAACAAGGAATTTAGGTTGAAAACACGCACGAGGAAATATTTTTAGGTATTGTTTCAATTTGCTCAACGGCAAAACAGCTCGGTTGACTCATTCGGCATTTTTTACGTATCTGTTGAAGTCCGAAAAAGGTGTAACTAGGGAAAAATATAGAAACATTGCTTAAATCTCTATTTTTCTTTATGCCAACCAACCACTTTTTGACAGAACAAGGTAAAGTTTGAGTAGTTTAAAATAAAAATATTTTACTTTGAGAGAAAATTACTCTTAAAATAGGTGAAGACATATATTTCTAGATATTTATTTATCTTGTGTAAAGTTACTTAACAAAGTTTCTGGATTGGATCTATTCTGATCGTATGACCAACACAAACACATTAATTTGTATTAGATTTGCACGGCCATGCACAAGTGTGTATGACTAACTCAATAAAACGCGCTATAAACCACACGGCGCGTTTATTGCGCTGATTGAGCGCGGCGAGCAAATTAAATAAACGAGATTAACGCTAACGTTGAACTGATTAAATTGCTTGATACGAAAACACGTTCAGTTGTTTTGCAAAATAAATTAGCTTCTGTTTTACTGACGAATTTCTTTACAATAATTTTGTCATGAAACCTCAGTGTTAAAATTGAACACAATATAAAAACAATAATACATAATGAGACTGCGTCCTTGAATTTATTTCAACAGCTGCAACTTGAATAAACATAGGAACTGTAATGTAATACTATCCGGCCACTGTATAATCTTCACCAGGCAGACAATTTAGTGTAGATTTATGATGGATGATTATTAATTAATTACATATTCGAATATCTTTTTTTTACGAAAATAATATTGTTAGTTCGCGTGGCTTTCGGTAGTATGAGGAATCGGTCGAAACCAAATCGGTGTAATGTGCGCATTTTCATACTGATTAAAAGCGATTAATTTGCGGAAAGTCTTTGATTCCATATAGCAAATGACACGTTGTGGGACTCTTATAAACTACCAAAAGTTCTATATCAGCGTTCACTTACCCCACTATAAGGGTCTTGAAGTACACCTTGGCGACGGTCTCGTTAAATATAGCAAGTTATCGGCTTAAATTAATGTCAGTAAACCTGACTTATCTATGCCAAATACGGCGCTGGCAGGTGAACACTCTTAGGTCAAGGAAGTGACACATTGTTGGACGCGTTATATGACTAAAAGTTCTATAGCAGCATCCAATCACCCCCTTATGCGACCTAAGGTTCCATATCAGTGTCCACTCACCCCACAATGGGCGTCTTGCAGTTCATCTAGACAACGGTCTCATTGATAGCCTTCTGCAGCGAGGCGCACAACTTACGAGTGTAAACCTGCGAAATACTATGGTGCTGGCAGGTTTACACTCTAAACCAACAAAGCGAAACATTTTGGTGCGCGTTTTGCAACTAAACTCGTAAAGGTAGCAGGGAAGCGCTGGACGCAGACCGCTACCAATCGATCAACATGGAAAGCATTGGGGGAGGCCTATGTTCAGCAGTGGACGTCCTATGGCTGAAATGATGAAGATGATATGCAACTAAAGGTTTTATAATATTATCCACTCACCCCACAATGGGCGTCTTGAAGTTCATCTTGGCGATGGTCTCGTTGATGGCTTTCTGCAGCGAGGCGCGCGGCTTGAGCACGTATTTCAGCATCTGGCCCACCCACCACGACGCCGGGTCGCCGTTGAAACGAACTATCCTGGACACAGCGCACGCATTACAATGGACACATAAAAATAATATCAAAAATTAGTATCAAATATAAAGCCGTGTGACGACGACGGCAGAGTAGAATACATTTGTCACCTACTCTTCCCGCGGGTGTTGTAAGAGGCGACTTAGGGACTACACTTCAAACATACAACGGGCAGAAGCGCTCTCTGAAAAACATCAATCTTATAAACTGCGATCTCCAACCCGCCTGCTAAGCGTGGGGATTATGGCAAACCCCTATAGTAGAGGAGGCTCATAGTCCAACAGTGGACTGTAAAGGGCTGTTGATGATAATGATGAGTATTGAGTATCAAATATTCAAATGAGGAGATCGTAGGCGACCCATAAGTAACCGACATAGCCCGCAAAATTGCACTTAAGTGGCAATAGACGCGCCACATAGCTTGTAAAACTGATGGCCGTCGGAAGAAAATAAAGTACTCGAGTGGCGACCAAACAGGAAGAAGTGGATCGACGACTTGATGAAGTGAGTTGTGCGCAAGTTATATCATAACACATTATAGCTTTTTTACAAAAGTTAATTTAATAAATATTTCGCATACAAGCTTACCTATGAGCTAAATCTTTCGGTATGGCCAGCGGCAAAAACTTGGGTTTCTGCGATATTGAATCGATGAACGGCAGTGACACCACCTTTGCATCGTAGGACACTGAAATCAAACAATACAAATATTATAAAACTTTAAAAGGACTTCTGTACTAAGAACAAGTTAAGTCATTATGTCATGTTATATCTAACTATAGTACAGTCGACAGCACGTTGGAATAAACACCTTATTATCAATATAGCACCCTATTGCAACTGCAAGAAACAGTGCTTAGATCGATGTGCCGTCATCAAGCAAGATCTGCCTAGGGAAAGTTGCTTTGATAGGCAATTTTAGGTAACTTTTAAACTTACATGGCCACTGTATGACTTTATCGTGATAAGCAGCTGTCGGATATATGATGGAACACATACCCCTGGCCCTTTTAGTTGAATGGTGTTATAATAGCAACAGCTTTATTATAATTATTATTTATGAACTTACCTGGCCACTGTATGACTTTGTCATCATAAGCCGTGGTGCAGCTGTCCGATATGGGATGAAACACGTAGTCCCATCCCTTGTTGTTGTACCGCCATCCCTTGGAGTTGAGGATGAGCGTCCGTTCCGTGGCGTACGCGAATATCAGGCAGTACACTATGTGGTGAAGCTGGCAGCCAAAGCCGCAGCCCTGGAACGAAACGATAATGTGAACTTTAATGCCTGTGAAATAAGATATACAGGGTGTCCCGTAATGTAACGTCAAGCCGGAACTGGGTGTTGAGGCAAGTTGTGCTGGTTATCAGAAAAATATAAAAAAAAATCTATGTGGCATATTTTAAAAAATAATAGGCATTTAAAAAAAATCAAAAAATTCTACTCCAGGTGACGGTCCTTTTGCTCGTGTTGCCACAAATCTTCACTTTTTCCAAATTTTTTTTTTGTTATGTAACCCTGAATAATGCTTCTCTAAATTGTTATCAAAATTACAAAACCAGCTGCTCCAGCTTGGATGAAAAAAATACATTATTCTCAAAAAAAAATTCAAAATAAAAATTTTGCCTAGTTTAAACTGACTGTACTGAAAAAAAAATGTACTACGCGAGTGTGGCAAGTGACGTCATAATTTGGCGCATTTAGTAAGGATTCCAAAATGGTATAACACTTGGTAAATTTTTGCTGTAATTGTCGACAATTTTTGTTTTTTTTGGAAATAGTCCCGTTTTTAACTTTATTTACCTTGGTTAAAAATTATTATTCTAATGTGCCCAAAATTCAAGTTTCTGTGACTGACTACCGTACAGTCAGTCACAGAAACTTTTGTCACCATGACAGTAATTAGTAGTTGACATACTGTGACAACTGTGCTCTGCCTGCACTTGTACTTGGTAACAGGGATAATAAGGATATGAAGTTTCGGTTATGGATACGGTTACGGATATTAGAATAATATTATACCGGTTTCGGTTACGGTCACGGATATGAAATCATTTCAGATTATCCGAAAGTCTCGGATAATTTCGGTTACGGAATTATTAGAATTTCAAAAATGTAGGTATAATACAAATAGCAAGATGCTGCGTGAGCGTGACCCACATAGCTACTTTATGTACCAACTAAGACGACACCTATGTATGATAAAGGTAAAACAGGCTGGCATATTAGATGGTGCCAGCGAATGCCAGACAAGTTGGTAACAAATATTAAGATTTAAGGTACAATTCCAAGACGGGCCGCAGACCGCAAACTGCAACCGCAAACTGCAAAACTATGAAATCGGCAGCGCGGCATTGCAGCTGCGGCGTGTATACTGCAGATTTCATAGAGTTTTGCAGTTTGGCCTTTATCCGAAACTATCCGTAACTTTTGAATCAGTTTCGGTTACGGTTATGGACATTTTTTTATTTCGGATATCCGATAGTTTCGGTTACGGTTACGGATATCCATAACATCCCTGCTTGGTAAGATGGCCCTCTCCGTCCCGCTCATACCTTTTAAAATGGCTTCTCCACCTCACTTAAGCCAGAAACTTGAATTTTGGGCACATTAGAATAATATTTTTAACCAAGGTAGATAAAGTTAAAAACGGGATTATTTCCAATAAACAAAAATTGTCGACAATTACAGCAAGATTTTACAAAGTGTTATACCATTTTGGAATCCTTACTAAATGCGCCAAATTATGACGTCACTTGCCACACTCGCGTAGTACAATTTTTTTTCAGTACAGTCAGTTTAAACTAGGCAAAATTTTTATTTTGAAATTTTTTTTGGGAATAATGTATTTTTTTCATCCAAGCTGGAGCAGCTGGTTTTGTAATTTTGATAACAATTTAGAGAAGCATTATTCAGGGTTACATAACAAAAAAAAAATTTGGAAAAAGTGAAGATTTGTGGCAACACGAGTAAAAGGACCGTCACCTGGAGTAGAATTTTTTGATTTTTTTTAAATGCCTATTATTTTTAAAATATGCCACATAGATTTTTTTTTATATTTTTCTGATAACCAGCATAACTTGCCTCAACACCCAGTTCCGGCTTGACGTTACATTACGGGACACCCTGTATTTGCAGAGAATCCCTGAAACGATAGTATCTTGTCACCTTTCTGCTTATAAGATAGAGCTGCAGTATTTTTGACTCTTGCATGACTTTATTGACTTTATTGTATCTTGTCATTCTACGATGAATCACCTCATTTTATACTAGAAATTACCTATATCTGTTATACCAATATAAGTAAGCTTATCAAAACAAACGTCTATGAAGTGCACTTGAGAATCTAGTCTGATTACCTTGAAATAAATAATATGACAACATATTAGTACAATTTAATAGTCAATACACGAATCATTGCATGAAAAAGACATCCAGAAATTAGGTACACAAACACTGAAGGGCAATAAGACCTTGTAAAGCCCTTCAGGAGCTAGATTTACAAAATTTGCATAGAACAATAAACATTCGAAACGAGTTAACAACAAATTAGGTAAACACATGTCATGTGATGCGTAACTAGGGTTGCTAGGTGTCCGGCTAACCGGACATGTTTGGCTTTTTACGGTCGTGTCCAGCCAAATATTCTCTAGTCCGGACTGTCCGGATTTGTTAGGTTTTTATGTGGCAGCAACCTTGCTGCTACATAAAATAGTGTCTTATGTGCTAAGTTAGGGCATCACGTATTGGGTTGAGACGCAACAAAAAGACCCCAAAAAATTCTTTCTTTTCGGGGCTTTTGTGTTTTTGAACCTGGCAGCCCTATGCGTAACCCTCGATCAGTCGCAGACATATTGCAGTGCATCGTCTTCACAAACAGATAACAGCGTCTGTAGGCACTGCTAATTAACAACAAGTCGCTTGCAAATATTGGATTATTCGTTTATTAGTTCATTTGACAGTACACTTGAAGTACTGTTACGCGTATCATAAGCGAGCCTGGTGTATTCTAATTTCTATCGTATGTTTCATATTGGATTTTCATTGACAGTTTCGACGGGATTCGTTTACTCTCTACACTCAATCTATTTATTTATTATCCCGAAGTGGTAGGGTAAAAGTAATACTGGAAAGTGTAAAAGCGCTTCAAGCCTATTTGAAAAGAATAAATGACGTTTCGGGAAACGTAACAATATTTCAGATGTTGTATATTATAGTCATCATAAAACAAGCATATTTCACTTTACGTCTCACCTAGACAGAGACATTACCTCAACACCTCTTCTCTCACAATAGCGAAATATGATTTTTATTAAGACACACCTAAGATACAAAATCCAGTAAACTTTCGGGCCAAGTCCACTTCTCGTTGCGAAAGCCTCTAACAGCGCTAATCATTGCACAAATGTGGGAATTTCGTACCGGAATCACACAATGCTAATAACAAAAAGTTAAAAAAGACCATTAAAGGACGTTGTTCCGACACATGAGTATTTTCCCTAGAGCCAACACATTTCAAAACTGGCTAAGTAGTTTTATTTGTACAATACGAGTAATAAACTCTTAATCAAAACAAAAAAAAAACAGATTTTATACATTGCTAATTCCATACAGTTCCGAGAGATTAGCTCTTTTTACACAGATCACGCAGCATCTCGTTATGTTTATAAAGGATGGATAGATCCAAAAATACGAACAAACGGATGCGTATTCCGATGATTATAAACACAACAGCTGGAGGTGTAATTTTAAAAGAACATGTTTATTTTACTTTAAATAAATAGGTTAATAAATAGTATCTTTCAAAACACGTTAAAATTAATTATATCCATGTGTTCATGTTATAAAATAGACCACTGAATGAAAAATACTATTTATTTATTACCTACTGTTTGAATAATTCAGAGAAGATAACGACAGCAGTGATAACATATACAATGACCGAGATTCCGATAACAAGGTTAAAACTATGTTGTATTAAGGGTTATCAACGCTGATTGTTAGAATCGTAATTTGATTTTTCGCACAAAATTAGGAACATCTATCTATCTATATAAATAAAAATGAATTGCTGTTCGTTAGTCTGATTAAAACTCGAGAACGGCTGGGCCGATTGAGCTGATTTTGGTTTTAAAATGTTTGTCATAGTCCAGGGTAGGTCTAAACGGTGAGCAAATAAGGAAAAATTGCGATGGCTTATTTATTGCCCTTAAGGCGGAACAGAGTTCGCCGGGTCAGCTAGTAATAAATAAAATATATTGCTACATTGTAAGCTCGTATTTACTTGCGCTTTTTCTTCACATTACATAAATAAGTAAATGATAGCGTTAATTATTTTTTTCATGAATTAGGAGTATACCAAAAGTGGTCTGTTATGTTATAAATAAATATTAATTTTACATACAAATTACTGTAATTTACGTTAAAACAGCTGTATCTATACGATATGTGCGTAATCTTTTTATTGGACATTCACTGTTGAATCTAAGTACGCAAGTGCGAACACCTGTTAATTTGTTTACACGAGTACACATTATGCAAATGTCAATGTCAATTAAGTTTATAACAGACTCGTCGAAAGACAAAATAGTGACGTAGGTACTGTATGTTTTACTTTAGAATCTCATCGTGCTACAGATTAGGCTGCAGATGGGTATAACTGCTCTCCGCCGATCAATTTCGCCATCTCAAACACAGGTTTGGTTAAAACTCTTCTTTAAAATTAAGGATGAAGCGAGAAAAATCGATTACACTGTGAAATGCAATATGATTTGAGTATTGAAATAAGTAATTTATATGAAGGGTAGAAGAATGATAGAGAAGTACTGATATTTATATTTTTAAATTATACAGTTTCATTACGTTTCAATCAAATTCGGTTCAGATCAATTTCTGAGTTCAAATGAGCCGGCGCAACGAGCTGCGCCAGAGTTACTGAGTTGACGCCCGAATTTCTTCTGAGTTACCATCTCTACATCGCGCCATACTAACTATGCGATACACTAACCGGACGACTAACCACATGGGCAGTTGGTTACTGTTACGAAACAAAGTCGACGACCGACATATTTGCGTAGCGTGACAAATGCGCAGCGGGTGCATTTGTTTGTCGAGATAATTATATCCAAAGTGAGCCGTTTAGGGCGGGAGGTTTACCTTACTGTATCAGTGACAGATATACCGGTGCGTTTGATACTATTCTATTAGGATTACAGACATACTACGGCTATAAACTTTATTTATTCTTATTGGATTTTTCATCATCATCATCAACAGCCCTTTACAGTCCACTGCTGGACTATGAGCCTCCTCCACTATAGTGGAGGGTTTTGCCATAATCTCCACGCTAGGCAGGCGGGTTGGAGATCGCAGTTTAAAAGATTGATGTTTTTCAGAGAGCGCTGCTGCCCATTCTCTGTTTGATGTGTAGTCCCTAAGTCGCCTCTTACGACACCCGCGGGAAGAGTAGGGGTTGGTAACAAATGTATTCTACTCTGCCGTCACCACACGGCTTGGATTTTTATTATGTACTTACTCATGGCTATGCATATTTTTACTTTTATTGGTATTTTTGTAATAAACCTCCTACAAGTAGTTGATATTCAACGTAAGTTCAAATACAAAACATAAAGAATTAAACATTCAGAGCACATTCTAAGTAAGTACTTAGTTGAGATAACACAAGGAAGTAGTCGTGGTCCTAAAGTGTATTTTAGTTCGCGTAAAGCTAGTTCACATAATCCTAACACAGAAAAAATGCAATCATAAACGAATCAAGAGACACGGCTATGTAATGGGCCGGCCACATGCGTGACGGGACGCACAATTACGTGGTGATAAAACGATTCGACGTTACGATACCATCACGCAATGTTACCGGCAGGAATTACATACGCGATGCAGAGCAATTCAAAACTCATTCACAGAAGAGCGCAGGTCTACAGAGAAACTATAATTCAAACATTTTCAAGGGGAGAGTGAATAGGCACTTACAGGGCAGAAATTTACCATCATAGACTGCATCTCACTTAACATCAGGTGCGATTGCAGCCAAATAGTTACATGCCTAGTTCTGCATAAAATAATTTAAAAAAATCTATATCTGTGATAATGATACGACAGTCGAAAGTTTTTGAAATGATCCGTTTATGTAACTTCGATCGTTAAAAACAAAACTACATCGTTTTACAAACTAAATTTTAATCATCCTACTCACTCATCATTAACTATCCTTAAGTTACTCAAAAGTGAGTCTAGTTCCGAATTCGATTGAAGTATTTAAATACGAAAATGTTTGTGGTACGACTAAAACTAGTTTTTAAACGATATTTGATTGCTTGCGTTAAAGTTGTTATTAACATTTATTATACCTAAGCCCTGTAGGGCACAGCAATTTATTTGTATTTTATCATATCTATCGTGTCTATCACAATGTCGTAGTCTACCGTAGATAGACCCGTAGAGGCCAATTAGATCAATAATAGAATTTGAAATCAACTACTTCAATCGAATGGTTTACATCCCACGCGTTAAAAATGAATGATACATCAAGTCCCGAGGGTCAGGATCAAGATCTCTCGCATTAGACAAGCGGAGAAATTATACCAGAATTAATTTGTGTCATACAGCTAATGATACAGCTCGGTCGTTGTAATGAATTCTGTCGCCTAGTGCAGTAATTGCATGTAATTACAGCGATCTGTCATTAGACGAAACCGCTTTCTTTTATTATCTGGTTAGCCAACTTTAAAGGCGGGGTCGCAATTCTATATTGTGCAATTTTATTCATCTCATCTCCTAGTTCTGCATGCGTAAACGAAAACAAACGAAAGCTACACGCATACTAGGAAATAAATCATAGTAAATATAGGCTAGGAACTAAGTGTCGTCTAAATTAAAAGCCGCCACGATCAACTTCTTCGATAGATTTTGAACTTTAACCCAGAGACATGAAGTCCAAATCCCTTTGGCGAAATTTTGTGCTACGTCCGCTGCTAAAGCCTGGTCCGTGAGCACGTAGAATTTTGTCCAATGACCCCAAGCTACCCATCCTTATTGCTCGCGCGTAATTATGTTGCTGTCGCGCTCGCACACTCACTGCGGGCTCCCGTCGCAGTCGCGACAGCAATATAATTATATTGACGGCGCGAGCGATAAGGATGGGTAGCTTAGGGTCATTGAACAAAATTCTACGTGCTCACGGACCAGGCTTTAGTAAAACTCACCTTATTCAAGTTGCAGATGAGTTTCCTCGCGTCCCTGCAGTCGGGCGGGTTCTGCAAGTGATGGAGCCTCCTTTGTACGAGGTCGGAGACATTTGCCGCTTCCAGCTGCCGCCACTCGTGGTAGCCATCCAGTTCTGGAAGCTTCTCTTGGTCTGACAGCAAAGATCTGCAATGGATGACTTATTTCGAAGAACGTCTTTGCATACAAACATTATTTATTTTCCTAATTTTAGACGACGCTAAAAGACTGAAAACACATTAAAGAAAAAACAGCTTGCATGTTTATCCTGTGTCTAGTCGTCGTAACACAAACAAGGACATTATGGAATCTTTTGAGAGGTAATAAGTGTGGTATGGCAACAATATGTGATGTGTTTTGGGACGTGTAAAAGTGTTTTTAACGGCCTACTTGCAAAAATAAATGAGTTTTTATAAGTTTTGGATTGTACTGGTTAGTTTAGTTTAGAGACAGGTAAAATAATGAATAAATTGAAATGACAGTTTGGTTGAAATTCTTTCTTCTTCTTTTCACATTAGCTTCTAGGTTTTAATCATTTACTCATGATGTCATTAACTTGTTTTATAATAATATGCAACTCGCTTCACACTCTTTAAGATACATATTTTTTCTCAGTTTCACCAATATTTTATATTTTGTAGTGTAAGAGACGGATTTTCGTCAATTTTCGTCAATTCGATTGATCTATCGATTATTCTCGCTTATACGGATTATATGGAAGCAAATCTTCTACGCAAAGTAATATTCCACTGCCGTGACTTTTAGTTTAACATTAAAACATAAATCAAAACCAGTTAGTGCTCTACTGCATATTGCAAAACTGCAAGGCGAAGCAAGTCTTACTTTTTAATTTGACTATTACACACGGTCTTATCTTTAACAGCGTGGAATTGCTAATTTCAGACAATTTCATAATCATAATTGATTTAAAAAAACGATTCTCAACAAAGACTACCAAGGTTTTTTACATTTTAAAGTTTATTGACTTTTGCAGTTTATATTATTCTTGAGATACACGCACGATATACTAAAAGACAGCATACCACTTCATTAAAAACACCACAATCAACTTAATTACACGTTTAAGATTATTTTCAAGCTTCCTTCACGTCAAACCGTCGCCAAATGGGGCAGGCTTGATAACAAAGACATATACAAAACGGAGGATAGTATTAAAGAATAAAAAGATTTACCTAATAAGGCCTATTCAGACCTAAGCGGTATTCGCTACCGTCTGCGGCAGAGAAAACCCAGTGGGTATGCGGTAATAATACTGTTCAGACCTAAGCGGTATTCGCTACCGTCTACCTATGTACCTCTACCCACAGCGACAGCGAATATCGCTCAGGTCGCTCTAGCCGCGATACTTGATACTAAATACCTGAGCGAAACCCGCGCGGTATGTACCTCTACCCACAGCGGCAGCGAATATCGCTCAGGTTTGAATAGGCCTTTAACCTCATTGAAGCAAATTGTACTACCTGTGCGTCGGTCCCGGTCTCTGCCTTCGATAATGTTAATAACAAGAGCGAAGTACGACGCTTATACCGGCTTATTTCACAATAATTAGCTGGAGAAATTCTGCATGTAATCATTAAGATAAAGAATTCGCGCGACATCTTTCACATTAAATTAAAATGACGAAGAAAAATGTTTTAAATACAAAAAACTAGTGTGTGACATGAATAAAAATTACTGCTCTACTGAGGTCTGTGCCTCTAGCACGAAAAACTTTCATCTACGAATCGTTTGCATATGCGACATAATTCGGTATCCGGCCTTCGAATTCAACGATACTTAACGTGCGTGACGATCTCCATTGTCAAAATTAGTTTCGTGCTACCATTTCTCATACTGTTCACTTTACATCACATTCACAGGGGCGCTGTTTAAGTTTTCATACTAAATCTTTTGATTTGCGATTCGCGTACGCAAATAATTCGAAGTCGATTTTTTTTCGTACTAGAGGTACCGTATTATATGTACATGACGATAATTTTTTTATGTAAAATTATACACACCTTTTTCTTTCAGCCACTTGGTCCAGTATCGTTTTAATCTTCTCCGCCTTGTTGTCGTCATACAACACTTTGCTCAGCTCATGGTTTATGTAGTACCATAGTTCTTTGGTGTTCGAATACACCCTCCTTCTGAGATTCTCATAGTCTTCTGTTGGACCGTGGCCTGTTTCTAGGAACAAGGCCCCGGTATCAATGTCCTTCAGGTTACCATTTAAACTGAAACCGTAGGAATAGTTTAGTCTTTTGTATTTCATTATACATATTGAGTACGTAATTTGAGTCAAGTCGCACAAATCGGATCGATTTGGATGGGAAAATCCCACTGGATGATAATTTTATTTGGTTCTCCCAATTTGTTGATCAGTGTCGTGTTCACCGAGCGAGAAAAAAAATACCCATTAATCTAACGCAAATGTCAAATTTTATTTTAATTGATCACTTAAAAAATATGGTTAAACATTAAACTGCTACCAAAATTGAGATAGCACAAGGTAAATCACCATGACGTTGGTCGTATTCATGAAGTATAAAACGAAATTTCCTAGTAGGTAGCTAGAGGCAAATTAATGAAACGATTCCTGATTAGGTAGGTACTTAAATTAGCAAACGTGCTTTTAGCCAATGTTTGTACACTACAAATATCCAGCCTATCTTTAATTCCAAAGTTTACTAGGTAATTGAAAGAAAGAATGAAAGAAAAAATGTTTATTCAGTATCATCAACAATACACTTGCAATACTTAACATTATTTAATGAGAAGGTAATTACAATGATACTGAAAAGGTATCCACTCAGCATGGTGTCGTAGCATCTCAGTAGATAATGCCCGCTGGTCTTTGATAAAATCCAGTTACGAGTATTCGTCCAATTCGAAATTACACTAGGTACCTATTCAGAATTTTCAAATATACTATCTAAGATTTATCCATTTTTTGCGGCATCAAGCCGAAATCTATACGTGTGGACTCGCAAAAGCTAGTCCGGTAGTAAAACTGATGGTGTGATATAAAACCATGCCATTAACGCTCGCTATTTATCGCGCACTATCGGAATATTCCCTTTTCTTATAACATCGTTAACCTATTTTCCTTCCAACTTCTATTGCATCGATAGAGAAACATTACCCAACTCAGCGAAATCTCGTAAATATCTAACGTGTGCGTGCCAATGTTAGTATATGATTTATTGAATATCAAATCAAATTAATTGTAGGTTCATAAATCAGAAGATTATTCACCTAATGACAAATGTAATTTATTAAAACAGATATTAATCACGACTTGTTTCAATACTAATATGATTTTAAAAATTGTAGTTAATAGTGCCATTTGTAATAAAAAATATGATTTTGCTTTTATTACGCGTGCTATTTTGGAATTTAACGAAAATAGAAGCTTTGTATTGACAACAAAATTCCGGCATTCTGAACTCAATACCTCAATCTCTCCAAAACAAACAAACTGAAGAATGAAGAATCTTTCGTATAGATTCGTCATAATTCGATTTTATAAGGAGGTAATTTCGGATAAAAGAAAATAATAGGAAACAGACAGATTCGAATTAAACAAATTGTCGTAAGTATGCAAATTTGAATTCGACTTCTACGAAAGACTTTAATTAACTTGAAATTAAAATTACCTACTGTAAAGTTATTTTACACTTTATACCTAAAAATTGACGTTGATGTCGCAGTAGGGTACTAAACTACTAGAATGCGAAAAATCTGAAGAACAGTTAATTAGCAATTATTATTATCCAAAATTATATAAGTAACACTCACCCTGAGCTCTTCCTTATCTGCGCAATTAGGTTGCTGTGCTGTTGCCTTAGTGTTTCTAATTGGGATGAGACCCTTCTCAGTCTATCCTGGAACTCCAGCACTTCATCTGAGCCGTTGCATCTAAAAACACAACATTTTTAGCAATCATGTCCGTACTTTCAGGAACGCGCTAATCTACTTAGGGACTACTGCTCAGATTGAAAAAAAAATTTTATGTTGGATAGCCCTTTATAGAGTAAGGCTTTCATCACCCTAAGCCAATAGGGGCGGAGCAGTAAAGAAAAACGTTGCAAAAACGGGAAATATTATTCAAACTGTTTTCACGCGTTGACGCGTACGAAGACGCGGGCACAGCTAGTCCTGCTATAAAAGGGCACGAAACTTCGTAAGGGGGGTTGACAAACCTATTAAAATCGTAATGAAAGCGCTGTGTGTTTTATTGATATGGATCACGACCATTAATGAGGAACACAACTAATAAGAAGAAATACCAGATATCAATAATACATTCTTAACCAATATTCGGGCACGCGATGCGTTGATTAATAACCGAGTAACCTAATTGTATCGAAACACTAATAAAATAATAAGTCTGTTTCTTTTTCTAACAATGTAATAACTGACTAAGCTAGAAAGGTGGGCACGATTTAAGAAACTGATTTGAAAGGCCTCGGAGGAGACGACAAATTAATAATAATAGTGTCCCGTAGTCTCCATCCATAGCCCAGTAACCAGTCCATCCATCCTTCATCCATAACCCTAGTCCATTCTCCAATAACTGCAATAGCTCCTGTGCACAGGCTGGGGATGGTCTCTGGCTACATCCCATGATATAGTCAGAGACTAGATCCAGCATGTGCACCACTTTCACTTTTGTCCATTATTTTGCGCTTAAAACGGCCTCTACGTGTTGGATCTGTATCCCCACGCAAGCCTTATAAAGGACCGGGCCACTTTTGACCCGTGAGCTCCAAAGCGTACAAACATAATAATAATAGTTGTCTCGGCAAACGGGCTAATAGCGAAGAGCTTCGACCAACATCTAAAGAAGCTCTCGCTGGATGGCTGGCTCAAGGGTCAGATGCAAAAGGCGGTGATCCTCAGCACGGCACGCATTGTCCGGAGGTTCCTCAGCCTGTGACCCTGACCACCGGTAGCTTGGGCCCTGCTCCGCTACCAGCGGAATAACTATTTTTAAGTATTTTTTTATAATGTATTTTTATTTATTTTTTTTTGATAATTTACATTGTAAAAAAATATTTAAAATTAAGAACCAAAGTTAATAAAGAGAATAATAATAATAAATACACTTTATTGCACACCAAAGATAAGAACAGAAAGTAAAGGAACACACAAGGTACAACTAGGCGGTCTTATCGCTATGAAGCGATCTCTTCCAGACAACCTATGGTGAGGACAGTTACTTAAAAAAAAAAAATGAAAAATGAAGGGGAAGGCGGTGTCGACACTAAAGAAATAAATGTAAACAAAAGGCATAAAATTTAAACCAAAATAATACATACAAATAATACACAAAAATATATTAATATACATAATTATATAATATATACCTACATACATAAAATATAATATATACCTACATACACATACAATTTTTGATACGAACCAAAGATAGAACTAGATAGCCAGCAGAAAATAGGTGGGAATTTTAAGAAGCTAAAAGGAATACAGATGTTGGGAAATTAAGGTAGTAGCGTGAGGAAGTGAGATTTGAGTCTTTTCTTAAAAGTAGGAAGTGACTCAGATTGCCGAATAGACATCGGCAAGGCGTTCCATAGACGGTTCCATAATCATCTACTCTATTTAAGTGTGAAATTCCATCATCAAAGTTTAATATCATAATAGCTAGCTAGAAATTAAACTTTTTATTATTTTCAGACTTATTTATTCTGATTTCGGTAAATAAACTTGGGGCAAGACCGCGAGACGGTAGACCTCGTTCTGCTCAGCACAGTCAAAAGCTTTGAAGTGTCCAGCAATGAAACTGGCAGTCTTGGCCTCCTGTGCAATGCTGGATTAACCCATAAGCAAATTGAGCAATTGCTTAGGGCATCAATAGGCATCGAGTGCTAATAATCCGGCACTGCTTCTGTGAAGACGTCCTGTTGTAAAAGGGGGCCGCGGCCCTCGAAGCGAGAGCGCGAAGACGTTCCAAACACGCCAACAATCTCTGCAGCGACATCGTAGGAGTTAGAACTGGTTACAATACGATCGCCTTCGGGCTGGAGACGCCCTCGCCTGAATTAGACAGGCTACTACAACATCCAGTACTACAATATCGCCTCCCGTACAGGAGAATGTGTAGACTCCGCAAATATCACTCAAGTTTTGTATGCGATGTACAAATTCAACAGTCTCTACCCTTACATACATAAATGTACTAATATCAATTTAATATCATGATTACCTGAGTGGCGATATAACTAAATATGTTACACCAATCCAGACAAAAAGCAGTACAACCGCAGCACGCTTCCATCTCGCCAGATACATCATAAAATAGTCATTGAATGTCATGTGACCGTTGGAGAAATGTTTCGTCATTGTTGCGGCTTCATAGTGCTACAGTATGCCAATAGCATTGGTAATTTACCTGGAACAATTAAATTAAGGCAATAGATAATTAAATGAAGATAATGGCCCTTTCATTGAAATGCAAATTAATTAGTTGAATGAGTAATTATGTTTTACACAGTAACAAGTCATGGGCAAATAGAATGAGTTAGACCTAAAGGACAAATAGAGTGTTCCATTGTTTGTTTCAACATCCATAATTTAGGTCAGATGAGAAATAGGAAAATAGGTATGCAGTTATTAGAACTACGTTTAATATGTTTTCCGTACGATTTCAATTTTTAGCTCTTATAGGAAATCTCTAACTTCAAGTTAGTCATAGTGGTTTGTCATAATTGTCATATAAGTTGTAATAGTGCAAATACAATATTCTGTAATACATCAATTCTGGCCACATAATATGCTAGAACAAGATATTTTGAGAGAGGTTCTGTATCTATAAGGATTATCAGGGCAGTCTTGCTTTTTAAAAACAATTAACATTAACTAGGAGAATTCATAAAATATGTATATTTTTTTTATACAGTTTAATAGGTACTTAAATATAAATTAAGTAGGAATTCAAACAATGTTTCAAGGAACATTTTAATAAATATAAATAAAGAGTATTTATTATTATTATTATATGATTTTATAATTTCAATTGATGAAATAATAATCCCAACTAATATTATAAATGCGAAAGTAACTCTGTCTGTCTGTCTGTCTGTCTGTCTGTCTGTCTGTCTGTCTGTTACGCTTTCCCGCTTAAACCTCGCAACCGATTTTGATGAAATTTGGCATAGAGATAGTTTGAGTCCCGGGAAAGAACATAGGATAGTTTTTATCCCGGTTTTTGAAACAGGGACGCGCGCGATAAAGTTTTTCTGTGACAGACAAAATTCCACGCGGGCGAAGCCGCGGGCGGAAAGCTAGTACTTAATAAACTAGTAACAGTAAGTATGTTCAAACACCTGTGTCAAAAATTATGATAAACTTACTATGATACTTGACCAAGAGCATGTTTAATATCATATTGCTGTACAAATTCTGTGATTCGACCGCAACTAACTACTCTAGATGCTAGCTCAATACTTCGCCGGATATTGATAGTTTAGAACAGATACATACAACACACGACTTTACTCTCATACACACGATACACACTTGCCTATTCTACATTATTTTAACTATACTATATGCCCACCGAGCCCTTCGGTTCAGTCTGAAAAACGGCAGCAGTTGAATGTAATTGAACAAATAAAAACAATACTACATACCAACAAACTATTCCAATAGAGGTAACAGCACACAAAAATACTGTAAACTGTAAATCACAGGAGGAAAGCAATTACTTTATGTAGAATAAACGATTCACAGCAATCACTTTCCAAATAAAACGTTTGATAGAATACTCATAAACTAGGTATGTAATAAATTCAATTAGTAATCACATTAATAAAAACACATCCCAATTTCTCATCACCAAGAATCGAATTATCACAATCGTCGACGTCGAAACGCAGAGCAAACGCGAACGAAATGTCAAAAAATTGCAAGATTTGCAAGAAGGAGGCGCTGGCGTATGTCAGTCAACCAACTGTCAATATTTTAGTGTTGTCGCATGAATCGACTCGACTGTTTATGAATCACAATCGAAGTGCATGCGTCTATCTTCTTCAGGGCCCCGATTACGCTAATTTTTAACGTCTCCAATACAGACGCGCTTCTTCGATTTCTTCGATTCTGCGATACGGATTTGTCAAAACAGCTGACGTCCACGCACGTAGAAGTTGAAAATTTTTAGCGTAATCGGGGCCCAGAGCCCCGATTACGGTCTCTCGGCCCCGAATCGATGAAGCGCGACTGGATTGGTAACATTGGAAACGTTAAAAGTTACCGTAATCGGGGCTCAGATTGCGCTAAAAATTTTCATCTTCTACGCACCCGGACGACTAACGAACATCAGCCCCCTTAGACAAAACGCACTTTTTGATCGAATCGAAAATCGAATCCGTCAAAACTCCATACAAAAAAGGGGCTTTTCGACCACTTTTCGACTGGTTTGCGATTGTTTGCGATTATAATTTGCACTTTGTCTAGACCCACAGCTGTTTTGACAAATCCGTATCGCGGTGTCGTTTTGTTAGCTAGTTGAAACGAAGTATAGTAGACGTAAACGTAAAGCTAAATATCACATGTATGTGACAATGTAAATACTAGGAAGGTACGTCCATTACCGTGATAATGAATTTGCACCTCAGCTGGAATGAAAAACGAAGCGCAACTGGCGAAGAAGCGCCAATGAATTGGAGACTTTAAAAATTAGCACAATCGGGGCACTGCGCTTATAAACTAAGAAGCACTCAAAAACTATTGCTTCCTGCCTGCCTGTATAGAGTAAGTCGGGTCTCCAGCGCGTGTTTTGCCCTACACAACCAACAAAAACATTTCATAATTAAAAAAAAATAGGTACCTAAAAATAATGTTGAATCTTATTTTTTTAAACTAAAATTAACACAGCAAAATATGTTCCTGAAGCGTTTGAGAAAAAAAAAGTAGCTTGTGTCAGCTTACTCAAAGGCGCAATTAGGTACGCCCCGTTTACGATACAGCTTCGTTTCAAATAGCTTACCGCGATGCAGTTGAAAATTTTTAGCTCAATCGGGGCCTTGGTTCACTGGACTTAATTTGTTGCTAATGACTTCTAGTATAATACAGGGTGGAATTATGTAATGCCACCTGGAGGGAAAGTTCTCTTAATATTGTAGATAGAAAAATTATCTCAAAGAAAACATTCCTTTATTTTTGACAAGAAAAAGAACTGCATTCAAAGATTTTCAAAAATATGCTTGCTACACCCGGGAATCGAACCAACTAAAATCTGTTAAAAATTACATCCTGTATTTTTATTGCATTAATCGTTAGGGTTAAGCATAAGGATTACATATATCGCTCTAACAAACTTGATAAATCAAATGAAAGGAAAACCATGAAATCTTAAATTATCTTAATTATTTACAGAAAATTGTATGGTATGGTAGTGAGTTTTCGACAAAATTTCGAAAAACTATGAATGCAGTTCTCTTTCTTCTAAAAAATAAAGGAATGTTTTCTGTCTGTAAAATTTTCTATCTACAGTATTAAGATTAAGAGTACTTTCCCTCTAGGTGGCATTACAAAATTCCATCCTGTATAATCCCTTTCAAGGAATAGATATTTTTAGGTATAAAGATTAGTTTCCCTGTCACTCTGTATAAAAGTATTTTTTTTAGAAAGGTGATTATCGTCTTCAAACGGTCAAAAGATTGGCTAATATTTTTAAATCGAATCAGTTTAGTTTTTTTTTTGTTTTACCCTTGAAAAATCGATTCGACTGACAGGACAAATCACAGATTAGAGAGTATGGACAAATTTTGCAGATTTTGCTGTCAACTGCTGTCAAGAAAAATTTGGTTGGTTTGCAAAAATTAGCTTGTGCCGGCAAATTTATTTTGACCACCGTCTCATATTCGATAAATCGTAATATTTTACATACTCTCTGTGTTATTCTACTCTCCGTGACTATACGATAGCCATTTGAGTAGGGCATTTATTTCAATATGCCGAAAAGACAAGTAAGGAACGCATTTTATTTCTATATGATTGACTTCAGAGAACAACAAAAGAAAATTGGAATTCAGTATGGAAACATAAGAGAAGTCTCTGAAGCTGCAGGTCCTTCGTGGAGGGTAAATATTCATTTTCAAAATTTATATCTTCCACTTGCATTTTCAATTATTAATAAATATTTTTTTCATCAGGAGGCACCACCAAATGTACGCGCTAAGTTTGAAGAAATGGCTCGCCAAGAAAAATTGAAGAGAAATGTTCCTGACCAGAAGTTTACTTCAACAGGGATACCATTTTCTGAGATAGAACGACAAGAGAGAGAGTTGCGTGAAGCAGAGGAAGCCGAGAGAGAGTATATTAATAATATTGTCAAATTAAAGTCTTTTAATTCAGGTAATGCATTTTTTATATTTTTATACACTTAATTACCAAAATAATTACATTCTTAAAAATGTACCTATCACCATTTCATATTGAAGACGCACTGTGTGGTACTGGAAAGTTTTTGCTTGAAGGTATTTTTTTTTATCACAGCTACCTCCATTTTGTGATGGTACTTGCATTGTTCTATTAATATGATAACAATTGTCCTCTATTTTTGTCTTCTTGTTTCTTTTCATTTGCTCTGCTATGTGACCGTAAATTGTGAATTCTGTCAGGTGTTAATCTCACAGATTATAATGTGACATAGTTCGATTACAATGTAACATAACCTAACCCACTGTTAGTTACAATCTCACGGGTTATATGATAAACTGATGGAGTTCACAATTTCATGTTGACATAATACTCATGACCAATTAAAGATTTCTTTTGACATAAGTGTACTTTAAACTTGTCTTATGAAATTTTAAATTTTAACGGATTTTACTAAGGTTTTAAAATCTAATTCATTGCAGAAATTATACATGAGTACTTTTATGTGATGGATGTGAACTACTACTGTAAGTTCAACTCGGATTACCTAATAGGGGAATGTACCGCTCTACGCTTCAATGTTAAAAATGGCATCAAAGATCAATTTCATACTATGATCAACCCAGGTAATATACATGTTCAACTTTTGTTACTTGCCACTGGGTCATATGACACAAGTTCTCTTTAAGTCAATAAAACTACTTTCAGACTTAATGAACATAATTAGACAGCTGAGGTCTTACAATAAGTTTAAACTTGGGGTATTTGATAATATTTTCACATGCAACTTTAAAATTTTGTACAGTTAACAGTACATTTTAATATGTATTTAAATTGTATGTAATATGCAATGGGTTTAGTTCGATATGCTGTCATTTATCTATACTAATATTATAAATGCGAAAGTAACTCTTGTCTGTCTTGCTTTCACTCCTAAACCACTGAACCGATTTAGATGCATAGATATAGTTTGAGTCCCGGGAAAGGACTTAGGAAATTTTTCTGGTTTTTTAAACTGGGATACGGGCGATAAAGTTCACCAAAATTCCACGCGGGCGGAAACCTAGTACATATTATATTAATTGTTATTCAAATTCTAGGTCCAATACCAGTTGGATATGCTTATGATGTCAAACTCGGAGCTCAAGAACTTGGGCTGGATATGCCGGATGCAATTACTTATAAGACATTGCCATACATAGACACTTTAGCCATCATCGTCGACTACCTGAAGCATGGCCTTCCGACTTCTAGCAAGACAGTACCACCGATTTACACAATGCCAGAGAGGGTGCAACCAGTCTTGAATTTTATATTGCAAATGTGTGCAAAGACAGGTAAGTTATTTAATTTTAACAACAACATTAATTAATATGCTATCTTTTTAGATATTTTTCACCATTTTTGGTGATAGATATTTTAATTATAATTTGAAACTACCTCCATTTATGTACGGGCGTCATTAATATCGGACAATAAGACTCGTCTTTGCTCTATAGCATTCCTAAGTGTCAGAAGCGAGCTACGGCCACCGGTGTCGGCTGGAAGCCGCCACATTTTATAACACACTCGTTGCTAATATTCGGAATAGGTATTTGGATTATGTCATCATCATCATCATCATCAACAGCCCTTTACAGTCCACTGCTGGACTATGAGCCTCCTCCACTATAGTGGAGGGTTTTGCCATAATCCCCACGCTTGGCAGGCGGGTTGGAGATCGCTGAGATGGTTGGATTATGTACTTTAAAATATTTGGATTAGGTGAATTAGGTAAATCAGTACCTAATCCAAATATTTTAATCCAACCCATCTCTAGGGGGGTGGAGCAGTACGACAGTCGTCGGCGTTTTGTGTGGCACTGTAGTGAACGAGTGGCCGCCACCGGATACACGTGTGCGGCGCATCTATACAAAATATATTAAAAAGTGTCTTAAGTCGCCGTCGCTGGCCACCGGTGGCTGTGGTCGGTGGCCCATTTGCGCCGAGCCTTAATGTCACTTTTACGTAGTCGACATCGAATGCGTTTGACTTAAACTCACACTACGCCCCCTGCTGACGACGTCACCGTCCACAGGTGAAGACGACGGCATGTTCCGCGTGTACAAGCTTGACACGCTGTTCTACACGCTGCTGAATGGCGTCAAGAACCGCGGCGACGAGGGATTCCCCCGCGAGTCGTTGGCGCTCGCGCAGCTGAAGAAGGACCCATTCCGGTACACGCCCGGCTTGGGGTGCCGGGTATGTTCAATTTATGCTCTGTCACGTCATATTATGTCAGTTACATCACCTCTCCCGTGCCACTCATACCGCAGGCACTGACTAGAGTTAAGCGTTGACCTATAGTGTCTGCCTGAGGTATCGGAGCGACACACAGACTACAGACAGATGTGCTTCAGATTCGTATGCTCTGTCAAGTCATATGTCATCCCTCTTGGGCCGCTTTTGTTTAGTTGGTCATTAGAATCTACTCAGATAGCCGCTTGTTACAGCACCACGAGGACATAGACAAGGCTGCGGAGTGCACTACCTCTCGCGTGAAGCGCTGGGCCTACACCATCATGGACAGCTGCTGCCCCGTGGTCGGCGTGGACATGCTGCCGTCGAAGCATGTCCCCGGCGACTTCGACCTGGACGTGAGTGTTGCAGGAGTCACTAGCACCGCGGAACATAGACNCTAATCGCCTTAAATATAAATACCTTACTAGGAGCGCTAGTTTAGAACATTTCGGGCCATCACTTGCGCCTGGGTTAAATGACATCGACATCAAGGTTCATCAATTCACAATTGGTTTTATCAGGCCCAGGGTCAACTATACGTTACCCAGAAGACAAAATGCCTGTTTGCAATATGGGCAGGTGATTTCCTTTATTGCCCGTGTTATTACCATTCTTACTACTAGTAGTAATACCATCAAAGTGTTTACCCGTCTTACTACTGTAGTTGAAAGTTGTTAGAACAGCAATAAAATATTGCTCGTGTTACTACCGTTTAATTTTAATTACAAAGACAACAAAATATAGCAATTTGTATGTTTAACAAAATGCAACAACGTTTGGTCTTGTGGGTGTTAAAAAAGTTTCAATGTAGATATTTAATTCTTCTTTGTATTTACCTACTTAGTATATTAAAAATAATTTAATTTATGCCGATTACTTTTATGAAGGAGACACCGTATACTTACTCTTTTTTTGTATCCTAGAAGCAAGACAAATATTAGATACGATAACCGAATTTTTTGTAGACGCAACCTTTAAAGCTTGTTCGACGCCATTTAAAGAACTGGTCAGCATACATGGTGAATAAGGGAGTTCAACAGAAACTACTAGAGTAATACCTGTTATATTTGCTCTATTGAGTAACAAGTCACAATCAGCCTATGAAACTATATACTATCGGCAACAGTGTTAACTGTACATTGCCAGTCATGTCATCTCGTTCTACCGCAAAGAATCACCATTTGATTACAGCGAGAGCAAAAACGGATATGGATAGTTAACAGTGTGGCCGTGTGTACGTCATCATCAAGTTACAGCTGCCGCAATTCAAACCAAACATGTTTCACTGCGACTTTGAGATTGCGAATATTAACGCTTTGTTAAAAATATTCCCAGGCATCAGGATAGTAGGATGCTATTATCACTGGCTTATTGCTGGCATCGTTGCCTGTGGAGAAAAGCAAACACTCTTTGTTGGGAAAATCGAGATGCAGAGGGGAAAATCGCATTTTTTCATTATGCTCCGTACTACCACTCCTGCCAGGGAAATGCACGAGGAAGGTTGGACATATACCGAAACATATTATAATGAAAAAAATGAAAACCTTTCTGGTGAAAAGTTCATAAAATACAGTTTTCGGTATGAGACACAGAACAAACACTAAGCAAATTTAAATATTTATCTTTAATCCAAGAGTATTGGATCGGAATAAATTACATTCTTTTAATATACTAAGTAGGTAAATACTAAGAAGAATGTAAATCTACATTGAAACTTTTTTAACACCCACAAGACCAAACGTTGTTGCATTTTGTTAAACACTCAAATTCGCTATATTTTGTTGTTTTTGTAATCAAAATTAAACGGTAGTAACACGAGCAATATTTTATTGCTGGTAGTAAGAATGGTAGTAACACGGGCAATAAAGATAGAGGCCTGTGCTGAATTCGCGTCCACTCACGGCAGTATCTGCTGATGCGAACGATTTGTCATACATTTCTTCAGGTCATTTTCTGACAGGGGCGCCGCTCAGTGCTTATTCTGAAAGCGATATTAGTAGTACTCCTACAAACCTTTTTGGATTTCGGTCCCATCACAATGAGTACGAACCATAACGTCGACTAATAAAGGAGACCGGACATGCTTCATACATTTTTGGACCAAGTTATACAATATACGAGGGCGGTTTGACATTCCAAATACAACAGTGCTGCCGTCAACTGCAATCTATTAGTGGGCAACTGTAAAATTTTGAGCAAGCTACGTCATGCAGTTGGTGTTTGATAGCCATTCAAAGCAGACAACCTTGTGAATTTGTCCGAAAATGGAAAAAGTGAATTTCGATGTTCGAGTTTGTGATTAAGCATTACTTTTTACGTAAAAAAACCATCACTGAAACTAAGGAAAAGCTTGATAAATACTACGGGGACTCGGCACCATCAATTTCAATGGTAAAGAAGTGGTTTACAGAGTTCCGTTGTGGTCGTACCAGCACTAGTGACGCCGAACGTTCAGATCGCCCAAAAGAAGTAATCACGCCGGAAATCGTCGATAAAATCTATGAAATGATATTGGATGGTCGGGGAATGAAAGTGCGTGAGTTGACTCATGCTGTAGGTATCTCAACTGAACGGGTAAATCATATTTTAAACGAATATTTGGACATGAGAAAACTCTCCGCGAGATGGGTCCCGCTATTGCTCACACTCGACCATAAGCGCAATCGTGTGACAACTTCAAAAGAGTGTTTAGCAATGTTCAACCGAATTTTCGCGACGTTTTGTTACTGTGGACGAAACATGGATCCATCACAACACGCCAGAGACCAAGGAACAATCGAAACAGTGGCTTGCTCGGGGTGAACGTGGACCAAAGAAGGCCAAACGGAATCTGTCAGCCAACAAGGTCATGGCCACAGTTTTTTGGGATGCACGCGGTGTCATCACATTGATTACCTCGAGAAAGATAAAACAGTCACCGGCGAATATTATTCAAAGCTTTTGGATAGATTCGACGTTGACTTGAAGCAAAAACGGCCGCATTTGGTGAAGAAGAAAGTGCTGTTCCATCAAGACAATGCACGTGTGCACACTTGTTTAGTCACGATGGCCAAAATCCACGAATTGAGATACGAACTGCTACCCCATCCAGCATATTCTCCAGATTTGGCCCCCTNAGCCGCCTGCGACTATTATCTGTTTCAAAACCTAAAGAAATGGCTGGGTGGGAAGAGATTTGAGTCTAATGAAGAAGTCATTACCGAAACAAACGCGTATTTTGAGAGCCTTGAGAAAACCTATTATTTGGAGGGAATAAAAAAATTAGAAAAACGCTGGACTAAATGTATCGAGCTAAAAGGTGATTATGTCGAAAAATAAAATGTTTATATGCCGCAAAAAAAATGTTTTATTCAAAAAGTCACGGACTTATCAAACCGGCTTGAAATAAATTATAGTACATGAGTACCTGAACATTTTTTATTCTGACATCCATACCTCTTGGTCTAATATCCGAGTCACTCGGACAATACTGGGACCATTGCTCATTCTGATTTATATAAATGACCAGGCATCTGTATGGATAAAAAGAGTTTGAGAATTTTCAGATTGTTAGAGCTCTGAATACGTTAAAAAATATTTCTTCAGAGTTATTAGATTATGAACACTACGACACTATGGATGGATCCTAGGTAATTTCACACTTGGACAGGACTTACCCATGAGCAGTTGACTGATTTAATTGAAAGAGTATCAAGCCTTAATAGCAGGAAAAACGGAATGTCTTGATAGATTTCACGAAGAACTAGAGCATCGTTACAGAGCAATGGAGCATTCGCATAACATAGTCTGCAGAAGAAGAACTTCGTGGTATAGTTCTAAATCTTACTAAAATCTATAATGAACTTTCTGCAGAGGACATTATTTTGGAAATTTTACGATATTTCACGTCAGAAATAGCACAGTGTCTCTAAACCAGGGGTTTCCTAACCTTTTTTAAGCACCCCCTTTCACCCCCGAGCATAAAAAAAATTACGCGCCTTAGGAGATGGCCGTCTTTTCATAGATACCTAGTATGCCCCAAAAGTATTATTCTATGCGTAAATCATAATTGAATATTTGCGCTAGTTAGGGCAGTGTGTATAATTAATGGGACGTCTAGGCAATGTATAAAATATGAAGAATATTTTATTTTTCGTTACATACATTACCTAGGTAATGTATAAAATTTTTTAGGTATTGTATAGAATACATACCTGCACCGGCTACGTGTAATATAAATATATTTTGACTTCTATTTATTAATTTTGTGTAAGTAGATAACTACCCAGTTGGATAAGTTATACCTCTAAAATGGCCGCTAAATAATATTTGCTTAAAATATTTTTTTATCCAAAACGAGGAACATTACACTGCATTACCTGATGCAAAGTGATGATTAGGCCAATGACAAACGCGAGCTTCACCTGGAATCCCCAACCAGAGAGGAGCTGACTGTTAGCGCCATCTATGAGCGCAAGAAAACAACGCATGATGTCAAAGGCTTGGAACCAGAGTGAAGATCGCAACTAACTTCGCGTCGCTCGACCCTCCTGTCAACGTGAAATCGAACGTTTTTTACTACCTACTCCACAATTTCATCTCGTTACATAGACAGTTCGTAAGCCTATTTTACTCGAAATAAACGTTAAAAACTCAAAATCAATAATAAATAATTCCTCATTGAAGAGACCTTTACTCCAAACATATTCGAAAGTCTGAGCTCGAAACACTGGCTATCTTACCTCTAACTGCCGAAACATAACTGTTGGGAACCGATATGTGGACCAACCTCTTTTTGATATGTTTTTTTACTTTTTTTATTATTTTTGAACTATATGTTTTAGAAAGCCGTTGTGGGCATACCTATATTGCTGAAATACACCTTTATTTAAAACGAAGGATTTTTTTTATTTCCGCACGCCCGAGCGGCTGTCCGCTACAATAACAATGCTGATAATATTGTTGTTAAAGCGACAGACTTAGGTACGATGGTGGTATCTAGCCAGGCGCACTTAGAACAAGCCTTACTACCGACTAAACCGAGCGGTTTTACCGACCCGTTCTATTAGGAATCGAACGCCAAACCTCTGGACCTGAGTCAGGTGGTTCTACCACTAGAACAGAGACGGCTAACTTTATTGAATTAGTTTTTTTAGATTCTGCAAAAGAAATTGTTGACTGAGACAATGTTGTGTTTCTAGATGAGTCGTGACTCAATGCTAACCACACTGTCAGCAAAATGTGGACAAATGATACAGCACGCGCCTCAACAAAAGTACCGAAAGGTAAAGGCGAAAGGCTGATAATATGCCACGCGGGTAGCGAAAGGGTTTAAAAAAAAAACAAATAAACAAATGAATACCAGGAGGAGATGAACTCGGAAAAATTCGAGAAATGGTATCTCAACCTATTAGATAACCTTAAAGACTCGAGTATAATAATTATGGACAAAGCATTCAGACCATTCACGACAAATCAACAAACCATCAACATCACAAAATAACAAAGAAACATTGGTGGAATGGTTAAATCATAATAATGTAACCGCTGACATGAATATGTTTAAAGAACAATTAGTGAAATTATTGAAATTGCACAAACCATCGGTGTCCACTTATTATTTGGATGAGATGTCCAAGCCAAGGCTGGTGGACATCATGTTTTAAGTTTTAAGATTGCCTCCCTACCATTGTCAGTACAATGCAATAGAAATGATTTGGACTCAAAACAAAAAAAGGTGAATTAATTTAATTCATTCTCATACAAGTTTTTTTAAAATATTTTTTTTTAAAGTAAATTCCGAAACCTATATTTTTAATTTCATTACACTTGAAATGATCCATTTACTATTTTCTTACAATACTTTTCTTTATTTTAGGATTTGCTGCAACAAAAAATACTTCACCGCCATTTACGGCTAACAAAATGCTGAAGTTGCTGGAGGATGCGTGCCAACATGTGACTAGCGAAAGCTGGTCAAAAGTTGTCGAAAAAACTAAAGGACTTATTCTACAAGACTGTCAGCGTTTCGTTCGAATAGACCGATTGAGAGATTAATTATTGATAATTAATGTCGGCGATGACACAGATACAGATTCAGACAGCGATTGTAGTTAAATTTCGTCTCAAACGAGCCAATACAGTGTGGAAGTTTGGGGAATACTTGCAAAACATGAATTAGAACTTCCCATCTCCTACTTCGCACTCAGCGAATAGTATAATTTGCAAAGCCTTCAGCCGCGTACGAAAACAGTGCTACGTAACTAGAAAACCATATACCTACGAAGACATTTTTTTATTTAAACCAAACCCGTGCTTACGTAACAGTATCATTTCTTTTTTAAATACTTAACCAATTTACTGGTACGACATTTTATTTCATACGAAACTACGAAACTGGTACTTAAGTAACCAATATCGGCCCAACTTCAAATGACAGATAGACACACAACACTCAACACATGCACCACAATAGACCATAACACAATGATTCAAAACTATTTAAATTATCAACAAAGTGTTAGGTCATGTCTGCACTCCGGTGCATCTGGCCAGACTTCATATTTTAAATAGTTCACTATGCGAGTGTGGGTTGGACGAAGGTGATCTGAACCATATTTTCTTTTCATGTCCTCTTATCAACCGTGATTCCTTTATAAACAATCTCATTTCCTATAAAACCTTTCCCTACCTGCTGGTAGGGAAAATGTGTAATGCTGTAAATATTCATAAATTAATCTGTGATTTTATCAATGTAAATAACTTAAAAGTTTGATTGTTTTTTATGTACAACTAAGCACTGTACCTACATAAAAAAACTGTATAATATTTATATCCTAAACTTAAGTTTATGTAAATATCTTTGTATTGTTATATAATTTAATATGTAATACTTTCCTGACCTATCCTGTATTATAAGTAGGTCTGATATTTCACAGTCTGAAAACTTCGAATCCCAACTTGGATGCAGGGAAGGAATTTGTATACCATTTGCTCAGTCAGATGGAGGAGGAGTCATCGGCCAAATGGACATCCTTCGGAATTACCATAGCAGAAGCAAATAGGAAGGTTACCGTCTGAGACTTATTTGATGTAGCCTTAAGAGATGCTGCAGTTCCTCCTGATGCTGTCACTGGAGGACAGGTTGAGGCCCCAGATCTGGCTCTCCTAGTGTTGTTTTGTAGTGTCTACAGACTTGGCATGATTATGGACCAGGGCTATATAGCTCAGGTTTCCGACCGCATCATGTCTCAGGCAGTTGGAATACCTGATGATATGCCCCGACCTGATGCCCTCATTGCCCTGGTAAGCAGTTTGTTAACAGACACCAACTACTTGAAGATGATAGCAGGAATTGACATGTTTTTACATCAATTTCCAAAGTCCCCCATGATGAGCGCTAGGGTCGGAACTATATCCTCCAGATATAAAGACTGTGCTGCTTTATTATCCGTCCGATTCTTCTTGAGTGTTATCGGATCAGAAGTGCTTGAAGATGCCCCTTCATGGATTACTTATGAACCAATTGCTTTAGATTTAATTAGAATGAGCAAAACCGGGGAGGAGGCAGCCATTAATGATTCATATTTCCCTTATCAGTCAGATATGGGTCTGGTGAAAAAGTCTGCCTATTCCACAGTTGTCAACCCCTCCTATTTCTTCTTTGTGCACGGTGTGGGGGCTCTTCTAGGGTTGGAACGGTCGCGAAATGCTCGAATGAATTTAAAATATGGCCGCCGCAGTGTTGCCAACCATTACATATCCTTTTTCCAAATTCCGATTTCCGTTCCTTATTTTCCTAATTTCACGTTTCCTTATTTTATGGGGGAAAAAAAAAACAAAAAAAAAACTTGATATTGGCAAATACGCAAGCCGCGCGAGCCATAAAAAAACAAAGTGTTAAACACAGCGACGCAGGATTACTAAGACAGCGTCCAAACCTCCTCGAAAATGAATAAAAAATCAGAACTACAAACGATATTGAACAACCTTCAATATTGTTTGTAGTTTGATTTAAGTAATAGACTAAGCAGATATGTTGAACGACACAATCCTACAAAAGCACAAATACTTATGACAATATTTATAATAAAAATAAAAAAACTAAAGTCATGGATGTGGCGGACGAACATTAGCGTAACACAAGAACAATAAAATGTTTAGGTATCCGAGCGAATCGACGAGTTCAGGAAGATGGGAAGTGTCAATGCGACACTCCAAAAATTTTTTCGACTACGAGCGCGCGGCACGTAGCGCCAGGGGTGGACAAATGAGTTTTTATATAATCTGGTCTGCGAGCACGTAGAATTTTGTTCAATGACCCCAAGCTTATCGCTCGCGCGTCGACTGTGCGACGGGCCCCCGCAGTGAGTGTGCGAGCGCGACAGCACCGGGCTTTAGTGGCATACATGTATAATTTCTGACTGACTGACTCACTCATCATGAAATCTCAGAAACTAAAGTGCTAAGAGTCTCAAATTTTGCATGGGGGTTCCTTTTACAACATTAGTGCTCACTAAGACGTGATTTTCCAAAATTTAACCACTAAAGGGGGTAAAATGGGATCCACGCGTACGAAATCGCGGGCGGCCGTTAGTTTATGATAAATTTATAGAATACCTAAATAATTTATCCTCATGTACAAAAGTAAGAAATATAATGCTGAAACCGAGTTGAAAATTCATAATTAAAAAGAAAAATAATCTTAGTAAGAGAAAATGATGAGTAAGCATGAGTTTCGTGGGTTTTGCATAATAATAGTGTCTTTGTACATAATAGGCTTTGTATATAAAAATTACTCTTACTACGAATAGTAAGAGTAATTTTCTTTAAACGATACTGGTAACGTAGCACTGGATTTGTAGGTACGCAGCCGAAGAGTTTGACAAACATATAACATCAAAATGTTCGATCTGCAACAAATAACCTAACTTTTTTGTCATTTTAGTAGGAGTCATTTATTTTCTTCTCTCCATTCTTTTGAAAGACATGTCACTAAGGTGCAACTTGCAGGGTTTTGCAACGTTAGAAAAGAATAACTAAATGATCGGTAGCCGAGCCCAAAGCAAACCCGCGGAAACGTCTATACTGCAGTTGATTGACGGAAGTGTGTTAAAAATATATGTACATTCAGTCTGTGTTAGGAAAATCTAAAACAATTTCTTAAATACTTTCCAATAATAAATAATAACGGAACAAGAAAAAACAATATCGCATAAAGCATTGACTGACAACTGAACATCAGAAAAACAACACAACATCGCAAAGACAACTGAACAGGGCAAATAAGGTAGAGAGAATAAGTGAAATATATCGAAAAAAGCATTATTTTTTTTAAATAAATTAATTCGCAAATCTATCAACTATGAGATAGATATTAATGTAGGTCAGCAAAAGAAAGCCTGGTCCAGACGGGTGTAATTTAATCCACCGCGTTACATCCGTCTTTACCCAGCTTTAAACACAATAATAAAGCAATCTGATCTAATTTCTACAAAAGGTTTTTTGGCTTTATTGGTTTCCCATCCCTCCGGCGGAGTTGTGCTTGTGGGGGGCCCCAGATGGGGAATTTTTGCGGTTTTACGGTTATATCTTGTCAAGGACTTACAATATCAAAAACTGATCTTCCTAGTAGTTGTAGGCTATTTAATCCTGCACAGAATAAGACCAAATTCATGTTTATTGGGCTACCCGTTCTCTTGCTAAGGGCAATGCGACCTTGATATTGTTATGTAATATTTAGATTTTATATACATTTTATTCAATTTCATCATAGAATAATAAATAAAAACCGAACTGGGCAATTACTACATCTATTTTTCAATTTTAGTAGGTATACATAGGTACGTTTATGATACGGATGTTTTAAGAAATTAATGGANGGAACAGCTGGTTTTGTAATTTTGATAACAATTTAGAGAAGCATTATTCAGGGTTACATAACAAAAAAAAATTTGGAAAAAGTGAAGATTTGTGGCAACACGAGTAAAAAGACCGTCACCGGGAGTAGAATTTTTTTATTTTTTTTAAATGCCTATTATTTTGAAAATATGCCACATAGATTTTTTTTTATATTTTTCTGATAACCAGCATAACTTGCCTCAACACCCAGTTCCGGCTTGACGTTACATTACGGGACACCCTGTATATCAGAATATCCTCATAAAATACCGTGTAATGGCCATGCTCATGTGACATAAAATACTACTACTTTATAAATGGTGTTACAAAACTTACTAATTATGTCGTTTTTTCCAGACCATCATAAATTTTAGAGAGCAAAAGAAAGAAAGAGCTGGACCGTCAGTGGCTGTTCCTCGGGTAATTAAGTTTTAATTATTTAACATTAATTTGTTTTCAAGCGAAAAGCACATTATACACTTAATTATTATACACAAAAAATTAAGCATATTATTATGTTTATGATATGAGTTGCTGCTACTTTTGTTATAGTGGGGGGAACCTTCTAACGCCTCAGCCAGCGATATCAATCAGTCTTCGTTCAACGAGTCTGCTAATAGTAAGTATTAATCAATGTACACTATATTATAACGGTCATTTTGAAATAATGCTCCCTTTTTCTTTACCAACCTTTGAACAATTTTATGTTGGGAATTACCTATTAGTTGTAATATCAAATTCATAGTAAAAAGATTTGTTCACTGATGGACAAAGGCCACCTCCAAGGATTTCCATAACAACCGGTCCAGCGTTGCCCGCATCCAGGTTCTACCAGTAACCTTCACCAGATCGTCGGTTCACCTAGTGGTTGCCTGTCGCAGAACCGGTTGTTATGGAAATCCTTGAGGGATACTTTTGTCCAGCAGTGAACGTCATTTGGCTGAAACGAACGAACAATAAAGTTTTGTATTTAATTTTTAAAACTGTGTTTTTTACAGCTTCAGCCTCAACTTCAGCTCCTTCGACTTCATCAAAGAAGGAAAAAAAAGCCCAGCCTCCTCTACGTATGCCAAAGACAGATTGTAAGTTTTACTCTATGTTCAAAATCAAATGTTAGGTTATTCTCTACTAGTGGCCCGCCCCGGCTTCGCACGGTTGTAATGGAATTTCCAGGCTTTTCTCTTCTATAATATGCATGTTTTATACCTATAAACCTTCATCTTGAGTCACTCTATCTATTAAAAAAACCGCATCAAAATCCGTTGCATAGTTCTAAAGATCTAAGCATACATAGGGACAGACAGCTGAATGCGACTTTGTTTTATCTGGGGGCACGGCAGTGCCCCCACCAAGTCGAGCAAAAAAGCGGCATACTAATTTAACTTGGAGAAATTTCTGTGCAAGGAAACTTACGAATATAATATTTCCAGATTCGCAAACCCTTCGCCCAGCGCCCGAGCTCACCGAAGCAAACTTCCCAAGTTTCTCTGCTGGACGCGGTAAGATATATTTTTTACTAAATTAAGGCTGAGTTGCACCATCTTACTTTACCCTTAATAAACGTCAAAAAATTGTCAAACTACGTACAAAAACACCGGTTATTGTTATAGTCATGGTTAAAGTAAGCTGGTGCAACTCAGTCTAGAGTCTCATAGGCTGTCTAGCTCGGACAATAACTCGCAGTTCCGTCCCAAAGACTTCGGGAAGACGCCGTCAGGTTTTAGTGAGTAGGCCCTGCCCATCTGGCAGGGAGAGCCTCACATAACCGACTGGATGCAATTTCATGCCTTTCTCAGTCATGTCAGAGTATGACTCTTTTTTTTCTTTTTTCGTCAGTTGTTAAAATTAAACAGTTGACATGCACAACAAACAGTAGACATTTTTATATGTTTCTTGATTCAGCACTGGTTAAATGTTCGCACGTTTTATAGTATGGTCGCTAGTGTATGCTTACTTGCGGCCACATATTGCGGTTATATTTGCAAAAATAGCAGTCTAAAGACTGACTTGGGATATAATTACAGGTCGTAGCTGCTGACTGATTTCTTGACACAATCCTTGAATGCTTTTTCAAATTTATATTACTACGACAATGCGCCTTTCAGCATTCGTCAGTGTGATGTTGCCATGTACCTTTTCATATGTCACTTCTGAATATTATTTTACCTGCATTCAAATTCAAATGATTTATTTCTTAAAATATAGTACAGTACAGTGATAAAAGGTCTTAAACTATTACAATAAAGGTCCATCATATTTTGCCATATGGCATAGAAATGTCAGATTAATGTTTTATGAGATATTAAATTATTTTAAAATTCAAAATTTGTCATTCAGGAAATAGTCTATAGTTTAATAACATTTGTTTTTCATAGTGATGTCAGTTTCTTTTTAAATAATTGAAATGTTAACTCTTTTATGCATGCATTTGTTTTGTTAATTTTTCTTGCGCAATGCGAGTTACTTACCTACAATATAAATTGTATTTTTGTTCATTCCAGGCCGTGGCTTAGCGAGCAGCTTAAACAAAATGCATATTGGAAAACCAAAGAAGTAAACGTAGACAGTCTACCTATAATCTTGTCTTGACCTGTACTCAATCTTGACTGCTAACTTTACTTTAAGACTTCCTCTTGTGCTGTGGGCAGTGGCGGATTAACGTATAAGCACTACAAGCACGTGCTTGGGGCCCCTGTTCTCCAGGGGCCTCCATCCTCTGCTGGCGCGCCAGCAGAGGATGGAGGCGTTTCATTTCATACCTACATTTTATAGAGATTTAGCCTATGTTACTCGTAAGTAATGTAGCTTTCAAATGGTGAAAGAATTTTTTAAAAACGGTCCAGTAGTTTTTGAGCCTATTCATTACAACCAAACAAACAAAGTTTTCCTCTTTATAATATTATATAGTGTAGATAAAGTAAAGCGCGTTTTCCCAAATATACAAGTGGCGTTTAAAGAAAGAAAGAAAGAAAAATTTATTACGATGAACATCACATACCTACATGACAGAGAAAAAGACAGAAATGGCACATAAATATTACAAGGAAATAAAAAGTGAACTGAGCAGTGAGCAGTGCTATCCTGTCGCAACAGCGATGCCCATCGCAATGGGATTCCACTCAGCATTTATGCCGTGGCCCACGGTGGGGAAGGCCACGACGCTGGTTTTCAGTGGGCCCCATGCCGAGTGGAAGTCACGGACACTAACCTAAACTGCATATCAACAAGGCCGTTTAAATCCTACTAATATTATAAATGCGAAAGTTTGGATGTCATGATGTCTGGATGTTTGGACGTTTGTTACTCTTTCACGCAAAAACTACTGAACGGATTTTGTTGAAACTTTACAGTATTATTGTTTATAACCCAGATTAACATATAGGCTATAATTTATGACGATCTGTGACATACTAAATTTCACGCGGGTGAAACCGCGGGCAAAAGCTAGTATAAATATATTATAACAATAATAATAATGTGCAAACATTTGTTGAATAAACATAATTATAGTAAATGAATCCTTCAAGGCCCGCGAATCTAGACACAATAGAAATCAATTGTTATGACATTAATTAATGCCGTCTGGGACTCAAGCGGTTAAAGGTAGCATCTTTAACCGCTACAGATGCTACTTAATAAAATAATACCCGTTACTGCGTTAAAGATGCTACATAATAAAATAATACCCGTATTAAAATAATAATAATTGTGTATACAGGGTGTCCCGTAATGCAACGTCAAGCCGTAACTGGGTGTTGAGGCAAGTTATGCTGGTTATCAGAAAAATATAAAAAACAATCTATGTGGCATTTTGTCAAAGTAATAGGCATTAAAAAAAAAAACAAGAAAATCTACTCCCGGTGACGGTCTTTTTACTCGTGTTGCCACAAATCTTCACTTTTTCCAATCTTTTTTTTTGTTAAGTAACCCTGAATAATGCCTTCTACCTACTACACTTTCTATTTTGATGAACTTTCATTTTATACTTTATACCTTCCATTACATTCCTTCCATTTCCATTTAAGCAATAGAGGGCCTACACAGGCTCTGTGCTTAAGGCCTCGGATACTCTTAATCCGCCACTGGCTGTGGGACTTAGATACAAATGTTCTATTAATGTTCACACTTCGTGTATCTAATACACTTTAGTCAGGACTTGTTACCCTTTTAGGATTATTGTGTCTACAAAATTATTGGGCGAGCTTATATGGCCGACAGGGTATGGTCATTTAATGGGTGAAAGTTCGATATGGATATTTCTATAATGCAGCTATTCATCACTATCGAATATGTATTTAGAAGCTAAACTTTAGCCATGTATGCTCGCTATCGTGCATTATGGGTGCATAAAAAATAAAATTAGTCTCTTGATATGACACCTTTACATTTCGGTCTTGGTTCGACTTTTACGTGCATTTATCTGCTATGTATGTCTGATATGGAGTAAAGCAAGTATTAATAAAATATTTCATAGTAAATAATAGAATATTCAGTAGTAAATAACCGTATATAATATACCTTATAATACTATATTCCTGTGTATAAAGCTTGGATACATTGTGGTGAAATGACCCTCAGTGACGCACAACGCTCGAACTACTTGACGCCACGTTGTCGCACTGTGTCAAGCATGACATAGATTTACATAACATTTTCCTTTATCCGAGAGCGACATTGTGTCTCTCGGGTGTACCACAAAATTGTACAACGTTTTAGGTACCATGCACTTCATTTGTTGCCTAGTGTGTCCAATGTTTTAACTTGACTCAACAAAAAGGTTTAAAAAATGTTGTAGCGAATGATTGTTATTGTCTCTAGTGTATCGGCGTTCAATGACTTAAGTATATTGCTATCTCTAGATGATTGTCTATTTCATTGATCAAATATGAGAATACATGATTATGTTTTATGTCGATGTGAGGTTATAAGTAAATGAATAGCATTTAGTATTAAATTTAACTAAACATATAAAATATGATATTATCTCTACATGTTATTTGATGTTGTAACAATCGATGTGATAAATATTATTAAGTCAAATACTTTTGTGATTGCTTTAGTTATTTAAGCATTAGTGCCATTTCCGCTTCCTCTTCTCTCAGATATAATTTTCGAAAGAAATAAAACTATTTTTATATTTCGTTTATTAAATCTTTAAAAGAAGTGTATCATATTTTTAAGGTTGGCCAAGTAGAATAAGTTTTAATGTAATCACCAAAGTGATACTTGATCTTAATGTTGATATTATTTCGTTTTTTTTTACGATAAAGACTCTAGCAAACAGCCGGCTAGAGTGTAATGTGAAGTATACGTACTTATTGAATAGTTATAACCTACAGCTTTGTCGCACTCGTGTGGGCTGTGCTAGAGGCTTTAGTAACTAAATTTCTTATGTTAAAATGTTGAAGTATTTGTTTGTACTTGAATTTATAGTTTCGTATGACAACTTAATGACGATTACAAAATATATGACTTGAATACATTCAGAGTTTCATTTCATTAACCTGTAGTTGTAGAACCCATTTTAGTTAACAGCTTAGGTACATTACTTATCATAAAAACAAAACAATTTGTAATATTAAATAGAGACACAATTTTTCTCATGATGTCCTCACATCAAATAAAATTAAATAAGCTTCACTTTTTCAAGGTTTAACCTCAACAGTGACTTCGTTGGGATGTTCGTCCACAGTCTCCAATTTGCTGTCTCTTTCTTTCTTCGGTTCCTCTTTCACGGGAGCCACATCACCCTCGGTGACTACTGCGGTAGGCACCTCGGTTGCTTCGCTCTTCTCAGCATGTTCTTTAGTCAATGTACTGAAGACTATCTCCGTAGGTATCTTCCCATTCTTCACCGCTATTTCTTCCTTGAATTCAACTATAGCGCTTCGGACTAGTATCAGGACGTAGATCTGGAATACTGAAATAAGACGAGAATTGCTCAACTCGAAAGATAATAATAGAAGACCTACCAAAACTATTGATAGGTAGTTACAGAAGTCCTCTCTACCATACTCAATACATACTCTTTCTTTTCAAAATAGATACATAGTGCACGCCAATATGCCAGTTTTAATAGCTGGGGTGGCGGCAAATACTTGTTATAAACATTTAGGTAATATGTTTTTAAACTGCCTGTCTACCTAGAAAATAGATTGTTTCATCCACGAAGACGCAAAACCAATTTTTGGTCGAGGGAAGCGCAGGGTTCAGGGAATTGGATCCGAGCGTCATTATTGTAGTCAGCGTGTCCACTCATTGATAAATAATTTTGCGTCTACCGATAACACTCATACATTCGCGGAAGAATGGTGGAGCGCGTCTTCGTGGATGAAACGATCTATAGCTCTGTAATACTTACATACACTGGAAATCACAGTAATGATGAGAAGCACGTCTATAGCGGCTATGACCATAGAGTATACTAAGGTCGCAGAGATTATCGTGGCGATGCTGTAGTTCATGAACACGCGAAGAAGGACGATATCTTTCTAGAAGGAAAAAAACTAAATGAACATTTTCCAACAAGTAAGTATGGGTATAGCGCATAACTCAGTACCTGAGATGCGGGAGGGGTGGCATTGACCTAATGACATGACAGGACATACAAATCTTAAGTCTCGTTTGACCGTCAATCATCACCCTCTCGTGTCACTCCCATACCTCAGGCACTAAGGCGGTCGCGATATTATCGCGGTAAGCGCGTGATTTTCATATAAAAAATCACGCGCGCGGACGCGTTGTCAGTGTGAAGTGCCGCGCATGTTTTCTATACAAACTGAGGTACTTGCATACAATGATTAAATCTGTCGCTCCGCGGCGGAGCGCGGCGCAGTGTGATAACCGCCTAACTGAGCCTTGCTGCACATGTCCTCTGACAAAACGAATGACGTGAGCAATGTCTCAGTCTCTAATCCATATCTGTGGTCTCAGTTCACCAGTTTTTAGTTCAACGGGGCTCAAACCCGCGTTCCTCGGAGAACGACACCGACACTATTTTACCTAGTTTTCATGAATTAACCTTTGAATACTGACCCGGTACATAGCACACAGCAGCAGCACGTTAAAGCTCAATTCGGTGGCGTAAGCCAAAATAGGGATCGGCTTCGACACGTAGTCCTCGATCAGAATCTCCTGGATCTTCATTATGGTCGGCGAGTAGCTGTCGTTCGCTGTTCCCACTAGTGACACTAACTGAAATGGTTGTTAGGGCTAACAGTTTATCAAGGACATAAAAATTGAGGATTTCTAATTAAAGTCCTGAAGCCCATGCCAACAGAAACCGGCAAGAGTTCAAATCAAATCGATAATAAGATGTCCACCCACAGTCCACACGAAATGCTTACATAATTATTATGAGAAGACTAAAAAAAACCAGGGCAAGTCCAAAAATGTAAGACAAAATATTTTTAGTCTGGATAAATATGTAATACCAATAACTTATTTTAATAATATGGGCCAACTTACCGAAATTAATATGTTCATATAAGCTATAATATAAATTCCCACCCGAACGGGCGCAATCCAACAGCAGTAATCCAATTTAAACGTAACTATTGACGTTTTTATGTACTGATATGTTTTATCCATTTTACTACAATTTCTATTCCACCACACAAAAAGAACTACACTCACGGGGCCATTCGCACGAAATGCTTCAATAATAGTTTTAGAGCATAATTCGGCAGTTTAATCAGGATGTCTCTTAATTAGTCATTTAAAATATTAGCCGTGAAATTATTGCGTTAATTGTATGATGTAAATAGCTATAACCCTTATTAACTGACGACCCGATGGCGTAACGGTACGACATTCCTCTGAACGCAGCGGGTTCGATTCCAGGTTGAGTCAAATTAGGGAAATAAATATTTTGATCTAAATTAGGGTCAGCTGGCTAGAAGCCTAGAATAATTGTAAATTATTACGATCTTGTATTTGTACATTAGAAACACCTATCGCTCGCAAAGTAATGATAAATAAATATGAACGAAAGAAAAGACATTTTAGATACCGTTTTATTTATTTGAAGAATCATTTTCTGTATTACATACAATAGAGATGTTTAATCACACTTTTAAATATAAATATTTAGTGAGAAAGGTTTAAAAACATCGTTTACATCACACAAATTGAGTTCGTATCGAGGAGAAATTATAATAGTGCATGTGTATCTTGCGATAACATAGTGTGTGGAAGGAAGTTAGTGTCTTAGGAAGTTAGGATTCAAGAGATTAAAACAAAGCCATTCTACAAGACATACTATATAGAGAAAGGTGGAACGTTAATCAGGTACAAAATAAGTTATAAAATTAATTTATAGCGATCATGGCGTTTTCATAATTTATTCATTTCTGATAATAATGTACAAAAATGATATAAACATCACAGTCTACTGGAAAACATCAATTATTATATAGCTGATAATTTCCAGTGTTTCTCTATTGCAAATGTTGGTGAAACACATTGGTGGTTTTGTATAAAAGTTTAGAAACACTGGCGTGTAAAGCGTTTATAAACAATTTGCTATTTTTTTTTTCTAGATACGTCAGGCAGTGATCGAATCTTTGGCCGGTATAATATAGTCTGCTCAAGTAGAGCGAGACAAGGCACGTCCGTGACCACACCGCGCTTTGCATCTACCTCTAATATATTAACGTCGGAATTACCTATTAACTAAACTAAATATAGCACATGCTGTATACTTATAACGCGTATAACACCTCTATTTTACCAATAACATAAACACAACAAGATTAAATCCAACACAACTATAAAATATATCAAACATAACCCTGTAACTTCACCCGAATAAAACCAAAAAAGATATTAAAAATAAACTTTTATTTATTGTAAAAATAAAGAATACATTTATTTATTTAAACGAACTTTGCTACTTATAAATGGAATTAGTATATTGGTCACAATTAAATTTCTTTGCTAGCTTATTTTTTAAATCAATGTAAAACCATTTTATTATTAATAACAATTCATAATTTCTGTAATAATAAAAACTTTATTTAAATATCCATAAACCGATGCATAGAATGCAATATAACAACTATTACTCCTGTTTCGTCTGAATAACTTGTTTCTATAGATGAATATGCATAATACAAGAAAAATATTATAATATTTATCTATAAAATATTTATCACTTCAATGTACTTCCATATTTTATAATACGTACTTATCGTATGTGCAGTTATAGACAGTACATCGGATAGGAAGAAGAAATATCAATATAGGAAGAGAATCAAGTTGAAAAAACAAGAGCAGATTATTGATAAATATAGAAAGAGTATAAAGATATTGATACTGTCTACAACAACACACCTTTGCGACTTTACTGTAGGTATTAAGATTATCTTGTAACTGTATTAATATATCTATCAAACCCCGTCCCCATAAATCGATATCAGATATAATGACGCTGCTTTCTTTCGCGTATTTCACTGAATTCTGGGCAAAAAAAAGATCAACAGAACTATAAAATCTCCTTAATACCGATTCTTTAAGTTTTAGATGACTAAACAAAATAAGTTCTTCAACTTCTAATATTGGCTTAGTCAGTTGCAATATTTAAAAGCAACCAACTCAAAAGTCATATCGATTTATCAACACGAGCATAGAACATGACTTCTTACCAGATTACTTCATAAGAGCGTGCACGACCGCATTAGCGTTCAGCGCTTTCAAATCTGTGTACGTTTGTCCCGTTCCCACGAACACTATTGGCTGGCCAGTGATGTACGTCATCGATATCGCGGCGCCGACTTTGTCGTCTATGGTGTCGAACTTGGTCAGCACTATGCCGTCGATCATGTGAGGATTGGTGGATGAAGAGTGGTCTGCGAGCGCTTGATTGAACTTCACGAGCTGGTCCACAGCCTCGTTGCCGACCAAAGCTTCGCCGACGAAGAGAACCATGTCTGGTTCGTTCACCTATGAAATTGGCAAGTGTTAGAAAACTCCTTTGAGACTGCAGGTAAATAGTGTAAACGTTCTGCAGGATAAAGGCTGGGTTGCACCATCTTACTTTAACTTTGACAAACGTCAAAAATCTGTCAAACTCCATACAAAAAACACCGGTTATCGTCAAAGTTACGGTCAAAGTTAGGTGGTGCAACTCAGCCTAAGTATACGTTAAGGCATTAAATAAAAGCCATGTTTCGTTTATAGAAGGGTTGAAGACGTATGGATTGAGGATTTCAAGTGCGTAGATTGAGCGCTAGTTTAGAGATCAAGGAATGCAAGTGTGTGGATTTATAGCTAGTGTAGAGATCGAGCAATGCACGTGTTTCGATTGAGGAGTTTAAGTATCAATTCTTTTTGATGAAATAAATGTCATACACTGTAAACAGTAAGTATCTCTATCGAGGCATTATTTTTTTATTTATTTATACTTCAATGCCAAAACTTGAAATGCAGATTAGAGATGAAACGGATATCCGGTAACTATCCGGTAGGCCGGATATCCGGCCTAAATTTACTATCCGGCCGGATACCGGATAGTAACTCACTATCCGGCCGGATACCGGATATTAAAAAACTACGACATTTTCCTATTAATAAAATGAAATATATTAATCTTTGACGTAAATATCAATAAAATGGCTTATAATAATGAATGACGGCTTTTATTTAAAGTCCAAAAAGTTTTAAAAAAGCCATAATATTATTCAGGCCTCAAAAAAATATTATTTTTTTCTGGGCTAATCACTCTAATGACGAATACATAAATAGTAAACATCCGTTAATGTCGAAATATTGCCAAATAAAAAGGCGATCTTTTTTTGAGATTTCTGGTGACAATAATATGATGCATGCAGTTCAGTCAGATTACGCACCAAGTAAACTAATTTAATTTTCACTATTCAATCACACACTCAGTATAGCAACCGAAATCACCTGAATTGATCTGCCCCCTAGACAAGTGGCAAAATCTGACATTTTATTCGGACGGATTCGATTTTCGAAAAGTGTGACTTGTCTAGTCTACTAATAGACCCACTGATCGCGTTCGAAGCACCTGTGCGGCGCTAAGCTAGTCACGATATGCAACGAGACAATGGGCCAACTATCCGGCCGCCGGATATCCGGCTATCCGGCCTAGCAGCTGGCCGGATATCCGGTATCCGGTATCCGGCCAAACAACTATCCGTTTCATCTCTAATGCAGATGCGCCAGTTAGTACTAATCTGCGTGACTTGTGTCACCCCCTGAATGGTTGGCACCCGGGGCGGACCAAAGAAATAATAATTTAAGTATGTTTATATCCGTTGTCTAGTACCCATAGTACAAGCTTTGCTTAGTTTGGGACTAGAAGCGTAATGTAAAATGTCCAAAGATATTTATTTATTATTTATTGACAACGCCATCTTGTGGCGGAGTTTTGGGCTGACACCGTGTAGGTTTGTTGTCGACACGAAAAGAAGAAGAATAGACAAACAGTGTGCCTTGTGGCGAAAATACACAAGTTCATCGCCATTAATAATAGAAAAAAAAAGAAGAAGAATAGACATGTTGACACCACCAATAAATTGGCGTATAGTTCCAAAATACTCAACTGTCCTATCGATGACATTGACAGCGGGGCGCCACCGTCTATACCGAATCGCTGGTTCCGATTTTTGCCATGTTGGAAACCATAAAGTTGAACGATGGTAGCGCCCCCCTGTCACTGAGTTTGGCGGGACAGTTCAGCGTGGGTCATCTATACTTTTTAAAACTGTCAAAACGAAACTCTCCCATATATTTTGTATGGCACTACAAGCAAGTGACGTCACTATGTTGTCAACTCAAACTACTTTTTTCAATTACAATGCGACCAAAAATCGTAATTTACAGGTAATTAAAAATTAGGTAGATTTTAAGACCAGAATGAAGTGTCTTTTTTATAAAAGTTGTGATTTCGAATTATTGGAGAATGCTGTCAAATTGTCCATTATTTAAATAAATATAAATATCTTTGGACAATCTCACACAGCGCCATCTAGCCCCAAAGTAAGCAATTAATATGCTTGTGTTATGGGTGCTAGATTAACGGATATACTACTTATATACTTTTTTTTTTAAATACATACATATTATACATAGTAACACCCAGACCCGTCACAGAAATTAAAATTCATCATTTCAATTTCTGCCCGGCCGGGAATCGAACCCGGGACCTCTCGGCATAGTAGTCCGTTCTGAACCACTACACCAAACGACCGACATTATTTGTTTTATTATTCGATACTACGCTTCCACGCAATCTATGCACATGTCGTGGCAGCTTTTAATTAAGGCTACACTATAAACACGTATTGTTTTCTATGTTTTTTTTCCTGTTAATTGTGTATGTCTTGTTAGCTGTCCTTAAATAAATAAATAAATTATACCTTGATTAGCTTGGCGAGCGCGCGCATGAGCGGCTCGTTGTCCTGCATGCGGCCGGCCGTGTCCACCAGCACCACGTCGATGCGGGACTCCGCCGCGTACCGGATGGCTTCCATTGCGATGCCCGCCGCGTCCTTGCCTGTTAACGTTACAAAAATATTATTTACTAGCGGCCGCCCGCGACTTCGTACGCGTGGATCCCGTTTAAAGGCCTATTCAGACCTAAGCGGTATTAGCTACCGTCTGCGGCAGAG